CGTCGAGGGTCGGGTTGGGCAACGGCGGGGGTGGGGAGGGTGGAGGGAGCAGGGTGGGGTATGCAGGATGGCTCGCGTGCCTGGCAAGCCGCGGCGGGTCGTGGGCGAGGGTAGCGTCTACTGGCAGATGAATATGGTCAGTGGTTGAGGATGGTGGTATGCTAGCAGGCCACAGAGGCCGGGGAGACTGGCGAGAGGTGTGGGCGGGCATGCAACGGCGCGGGAGAGGAACAGGTGTGGTACAGAGGAGGGGAGCATGGCAGCTTACAGCGCAGTGACGACAAATGTTGTGCCAGCGATCCGAGGCAGTCAGGCAAGTGTTGAGGCGGCCTCAGGGCAGGAGCGGCTCGACTGGTGCGCTGCGGCTTCCCTGTTCCGTTGGGCAAGACGCGGCAGGCGTTGTGGCCGCGGTGGATGCTTCTGCTCTCCGCACGCCTCGAGCAGGCCCTGCGCCTGTTCGAGCCTCCATGCTTTTCGCGCGGGCTTGCGGTGCTTGCAGAGTGACGTGAATGCAACGTCCAACAGCCGTCAGCGCTAGCCACCCGTAACCGAAACCAGGCTGCCTGCGCGGCGATCCTCGACCTCATGCTCCGAGTTCCTTCATCGTCCGCTGCGCCTGCCACCGCCTTTTCGGGCTCCTTCCATGGACGGCTGTCTCTGCTACGAGCGCTTAAGTGTGACCCTCTGTCTAATCTTCGGTCTCTTCAACACCCGAGAAGCGCAAGCAGTGACTAGTCCCTTGTGAAAACCCCCCTGAGACGTCCAAGAACACGTCTATGCCATCGTCACCAGCCACACCGGGGTAGCCCGTCGGCCTTTTGCACGCACCCGGCCAATCGCAGTGTAGCTCATAAACACTCGAACCATTCGTTCAGCCTCCCGCTCACGGAACCCGAGGCCATGTTCTCCCACATACCTCCGATACCGTTGTCCCGGGATCGTGGCTCCAAACAAGGTTTCGAGATGCGCGCTGCGACAGGGCCTGCCGCACCATCACCACGCGACAACCCACAGTGCCGATGCCGACAAGAGGTATGCACAGGCCGCGTGGCTCTTTGTGCACCGTTTGATATGCTTCTGGAAGGTAATCTTAGTTTCAACCAGCGCCGCCTCAATAATGCCGTGCCGAGTCTTGCAACGTGCCCATCGCCCTGTCGCACTTTGGGTGTCGAAACTCGTCCACGATGTATTAGATGTGTGTAGGTCCCGTCTGCCAGCCTCTAGTCTGATCACCGTCCTTCACTTTGCTTTTCTCTTCCTCTTCTCCAGTCGGGCGTTTGGAAACCTTGCGCCGTTGTAGCATTAACTCTCGTAGCCCCATGTCAAACCTTCGGACATCGTATAGCTCAACCAGGTACCGAACTCGCAATGGGGCATATCGTATACGTCGCGAACGGGCGTGACCAAGGGCCCGTCATAGGCCGAGTCAGTATGGCCATGTATACCGTTGCTGTGGCGTTTGTGGCTCTTCGGCAAGCACCCATCTTCGCCACGAGCAAATGTCGTATTGCTAACAAAAAGTAGATGCTTCACGCGCGGATACATTGTCAAGAAATTTGGCCTAGACGATCTCTTCATCGCCATCGCCGTTACCCTCGGAGCCGCACAGACAGTCACCATCATATTGCAAATCGAGCATGGCCAGGGACGACATGCATCGGAGCTACACGTGGAGCAATTCGACGAGATGCTCATGGCATGTTCAACACACCTTGTGACACTCGGCTCCGTACTGACAGTGGACTAGTACCAATGGATCAATATGCTCATCTACTTTGTCGCAAATTGGTATGCCGCACCATCGCTCTTGACATCAGCATCCAAGATTAACTTTATTGCAGGGCTGTCAAGATGAGCATCTTAGCTCTGTACTACCGAATCGGCTATGGGAAACAGGGCCTGCCATGGATCGTGCAGTCACCTGCTGTATGGACAGCAGCCGGCTTTATGACTGCCTTTAGTTTCTCCGTCTTTCTTGTGAGTACCATGCCCGTCTGTCTGTACGAGATGCACAACTGACATTGTCCGAAGACTCAATTGTTCATCTGTACACCAGTATCACGTGTCTGGGATATCGAAGCCCAACCCGAAGGATGCATCAATGCTCCCATGTTCATGGTCATTTCGGGTGCCATCAACGTCGTCACGGATATTATCTTATTGATCTTCCCGTTGCCTTTGATATGGGTAATCAAATTCAACAAGAGACAAAGGAGTAAGTCGACGTCTTCATGTCTCTATGAACGCTCATTGTTGACCGTCACTTCAGCAGCTCTAGCAGTCATCCTTTCCATCGGCGTCATCCCGGTCATAGCCAGCACCATGCGCCTTTGCGAGATTGTCATGTCGGACAGTCCCGTCAGACCAGGAAGTACATGGCAAGAAGTCGATTTCAGCTGGTACGCCTCTGCCTAGCCCGTTCTCTCTACTAATAGCATTTTCTGACACATGAACCATAGGGGCTGGTCTTGGGTTCCAGTGTGGTCCCAAATCGAGGTTGACATCGGCATTCTGGCCGCCTCTCTCCCCTCGCTGTCCCCTTTACTCAAACATGTCTTCAACTGTCCCGCCCGAGCCACCACACCTTCCGAGGTACCCACTCTACCAGGATACCGTGGGAGTTGGGGAGAAAAGAACCTGGTCAGCATGGACGACGAAGACGATATCGAGAAATCGGCATGGGACTTTGCATCGTCCGAAGAGAAGAATGGCGCATTCGATTTCGATGTGGAGAGGAGATTGACCGTTGCGGAGATTGAAATGGGAAAGGCTATGGATATGGAGAATAGTTACTTCGATGATACCGCGTCAGAGGTCGAGGAGAGAGAATCGGTAGGTAGACCGAGTATAGGGGTCGCGAGGACGGCAGATGTTCATGTTTTGTCTCGAACCGGGGTGCCGAGGCTAGTAGAGTATAAGAAATTATGACATTACGTTACAATGTTTGCTTTATGGCCCAAGGGCACAATCTGTTGGTTTGCTAGCACTCATCTCATGTACGTACAGATGCTTGCTTACAATTGTTTGTAGCAAGCACACTGCCTTTATAGGCAGCTCTCATCTCATATCTACTCACATCCAGGAGGTTATGGGATGGTTCAGGGATGGAGCCGTCATTTCATTGGTCTCGTTGTGCATCATGTTAGTGTAGTCATCGGTTGGTGTACAGGGTGTTAGTACAAGCATTCTACCGTCAAAAGGCTTCCAACGCTTCACCAACGTCCGAAGCTATCGAACGCGGAGCTGAATTGAGTAGCTGGGTCGCGTCAGTCACGATCCTCATCATCACACCGTAAATGTGCGTTCACTTACCATATCCACTCGTGACAGCGCATTCACTCGCCTCAGCTTTCTCCATCGCTTTGGGCAACCACTCCCTAATCTTCTCTTCCCTGTTATGATGACTCGGGTGCGTGCTCAGTATCTGCGGCGGCCCCGCCCCACCAGCCTTCTCCATGCGCGTCCAGAACTGCATTGCAGCTTCTGGTCGATAGCAGCCCTGCGCCATCATCAAGAGACCAATATAATCGGCTTCAGCTTCGTGCTTACGGGAGGCGGGCATAGAGAGGAAGAGATCGAGGAGCATTTTGCCCGAGTAAAAGGAGACATCGAAGAGAGAGAGGGCAAGAACGCCGAGGAGGATCAGAGGCGCTTGAGACATGCGTTCACTGTTCTTTGGTCAGTACATGCTTCATCGGCCCGAGATAAGAGTACCAACGCAGTATGATGCGCCACCACATGCGCAATCTCATGTCCCAGCACGGCCGCAATCCCATCCTCATCCCTGCACAGAGGCAGAATCCCTGTAAACACAAAGACCTTGCCTCCCGGCGCAACAAACGCGTTCTGTTCCGGAGACTCGATGACGGTGACCTCCCACTGCAAGTCTTTCAACCCTTCGCCCTCGGCATACGGCAACAAACGCTCCAAAACCCTCTTCACCTGCTTCACCCGCGCATCGCTATCCGGTAGTATCCTGCCTTGGTATTCTTGCCGCACTTGCTCTACGGATGATCGTCCCAGCGCTTCTTCGATGCCAGGCGAGATGATGTTGAAGCGGCGGCGCCCAGAGACGGGCACTTCTTCTAGATTGTACAGGTAGACGCCGCCGGTGCCTGCACTGATCAGGCCAACGTCGCGATAAAACGTTGGGCGTGCAGCCCAGCGAAAAAGGAGACCGGAGAGGCCGCCTGAGGGAGAGTTGAACCGTTTGTATTGCGGGCCGCTGCGACCGAGTTTCTGGTAGGCACGGGATTGTGGAAGGCTGCGGACATGTTGCAATGAGGATTGAGGCGTGCGAGGTAGAGCGCGAATGGGTACGAGCGGCGGTCGTATCCGGTACATGGCGGCGTTGATGTGGTGTTTGGGTGAGGTTTGGGCGAGGTTTGGTGATGAGATGGGGAAGGTGACGTGCATACCTATGAACTCCGCGGGAATGCCAAGACAGCCACAGTTCGTTCTGCTTGCGCCTGTCCGAAGGGGTCGTCAGCATTGGCCAGGTTCGACTTGCGTAATTATCGCCCGTCGGCCAAACAGACGGACGGGAACTCCAATCAATATAAGCGCGGTATAGGAATCTACCTAGGTAGGTAGAAAGCCGTTTCACCTACTTCTCGACAGGCCCACAGGCGTCATCTTCCATCGCGTATCGACGGGGTTGGAAATTGGAAAGTCGTACCTCAATACGTTGACCTCATATTGGCGATCCGCAATGTTCCCGTTGTTTACTCGCTCAGTGTCTCCAAATTTATTTCAGGATGCAATTCAAATGATACTCCTAACTTCCGCCCAGATTGACAAGGCCTTAACAAACAGATCGGACTTTGGGAACATCGAATGATGCGGCTACATCACAGTCACTTTACAAGAGAGCTAGAGGAACAATATTTCGAAGTTGGCAACACGTCGTATATATTGTCGCAATACTGTCACTGCTGACAGCTTCTCGTATTGCACTGTAGTGGTGGTACTTGCTCCTTCCGTTCCATCTTGCTCAAAGCCTATACGTAGGCATACTCTACGTGAACTTCAAGGACGCAGGCATCGGGCTTGTATGGGACAGGCTCGGGGAAGGGAGAAACCATTGCCGGAGAGGTTGAGCAAGGCGTCTCAGCAGCAGAAGACTCAGCCTTGGTAGGTGTAGCAGACGCAGTGACCACGGCAGACGAGGTAGGAACGACGGCAGAAGACTGCGTGACGGCTGCACTGGTAGCAGAAGAGGCGGGAGAAGTGGATGATGAGCTGGTGGCACCGCACGACGGTAGAGGTGCGACGCTGTCAATCTTGGAGACGACCCAAGAAGAAGCATCGTCGGTGTAGAGCTCAAAGTAGTTCAAGTGGTCGGCCACAACGTTTCCGCCGGCGCAGACTGGGTCGCCGGCAGCGCAGTAGGAGCGAAGGACAGGTGCGTAGCGGTTGAGGCGTGCAAGATCCTCCGGCTTACGACCGTTGGACTGCTTGTCGGCACCGTCGAGCACATTGTAGGGCTGGTTGGCGGTATGCATCACGTCTCCCCAGAGAAGAGCCGCGGCGACTGGAACATGTTAGGAAGGGTATTGCAATAGTATCGTCGAAGTCGCTTACCCGCTTTGCCCGCAGCAGAGTTGTTGTCTAGGCCGGTCGAGACGAATGTGCATCCACCCTATATTGCAGTACGTAGTTAGCACATGCCTCACGGGTGCCAGGTTCTCGCTTGATGCTTACCGGTCCTCCAAGCACATCACCGGCTACATGAGCACCCTCAGAGTACCCATTCACTACAATGTGCGAGCAAGGGCACTTTTCGTTGAAGGCGGTGATCTGAGAGATACCATTGCGAGCGCCCTCAGCAACTTGGCTGCAGTAGTCTCCACCAAGGGTCACATCGAACTGGATGTCGATGTAGTCGCAGCTCTTGCCCTGAGCAGTCAACTTGCCGCAGGTGGCCTCGACGAAGGGGAAAGTGCGACCGTCATGGTATGGGGCGTCGTTGCCGCGAGCCATAAAGATGACTACATCGGCACAAGTTGCGTCGAGCTTCGGGGGAACGGTTTGCGCAGCAGCGAGGGCGGAGAAGGCGCCCAGGGCGATGGTGTTGCGAATACTGAACGACATGATTAAGGATTATGTTTGTGTAGTAATATATAGCGATTAAAGAGTGTGGAGGTGGAGACCGCAGGTAGGGATGGGGTTGCAGAAAGAGCGTGATGGGCCTTTTAGGAATACCTGGGGTATCACATTGCAGCAAGAGGGGACGGCTTTAATACATGCAGTATACGAACACGTTAAATTTGATCGTTCACCAAGGCGTCAGCATCGCTTACGGTGGAGACGTCTATACGAGCCTGTTGTGGTTCTATCCCTTTTGCCCTGCATAGGCGCCCGAACAATCGTTGCGGTTGCTTGTATCCTGGAGCTACAATCCCGTTAGAGGATTACTAGAAGTAGAAGCTAGCAACAGCTGTGGTCTATTGGCGTTAGTCCTTCCGGTAGCTCAGCCACGAAGGGATAGAACAGCATCAGTGCCACCGGGTATTCTGATATCTCGGCAACCCCTACAAAAAGCTTAGATCTGGAGATGTGGATAACACGGCAGTACGACGAGATGTATTCGTACATAGGCATTCCGTTATTCTGCACATGGCGAGTCTCGATGAACGCGTTGCCTCTCAGCTAAAAGATGTTCATGTCACAGCAGCCATGGTGACATAGCGAGGTATCAAGGAAAAAAAAGGCGCGTCTCTCGACTAACGACGGCGCATAATCCTCGTGACTATCGCGCCTGAGCCCTACGAGTCTCTTGGCGACTGAGCTCATGTAGACGTTGGTCACGATTCATGTCTGTATTTACCTTACAGTTCTCCGTCGTAATAACACTTCCATAGCCATTGAGGTTTCTTCCAATGATCCTCGTTGAGAAATACAACTTTCGCATCTTACCCAACCACCTCTTTCCAGGCATCTTATACCTCATCCCGCGGCTTCCAGCGATCAACACGCCAATAGAGTCGATTTAGATGAAGATGAACTGCTTCTCCAGGGACCCCAGGTTCAGTATTCCCACGCTTGCCCCAACGCGGTGATCGAGGCGCCCCAGTTTTTAGATACCAGAGTTCGAACACGCGGCTTACGATCCTTGAATAATCCAAGGAAACTGATCCCGCTGGAAGATAGCATCCGTTGTCCAGCCTCAAGTTGAATTTTCGTAAGTTTGGGCAGCTCGAGACTACTTTTGAGGCATCCATCAGGAATGGTGGTAGAGTGCTCTGGTCAAACACCGAGCGGAAGCGATCTTGCAAGACCACGGCTATCGCGAAGAATCCATGCTCCATCACGTCAACGTAACGTCCAGACTCGAAGATTCTTACGTCCTCTTGGTGTTCGAACAAAGAGTGTCGTTCTTGCAGCCTCTGGAACGACATGGTCTTCTGCTTTCAAAACGCTCTCCACGCAAATTCGCACTGAGACTTTTCCAGGGTTTCGTCGTCGCGTTGAAAGTACCATACCCCATAGTCTGTCTCAGGTGCGAATTCCAGCTCGAATTCGATGAGTGAAGGGAATAGCGTACTAGTATTATCGATTACACACCGAAAGAACTCGGGAGATATCACCAGTCTAGCTAGCATCTGAAGCTTGACCAGGTTTGGGAAGGAAGCGAGATGCTTTAGCGTCCGCGAGCACGACTCGTGACGGCTGTTCTTAACAAACCTTTGGACTGGCAAGTTCTCGTTCTTCGTCGAGCCGTGATGAATGGACCTTCATGGTAGCGAAGACGCACCCGAGGTACTGTCAGCCACGATTCTACTTCGTGGAAAAAGGGTAGCCTGTATACTTGAGTATCGAGATTAGTACAGGCTGAAATAGACGCAGTAGTAGTAGTAGTAGTAGTAGTAGTAGTAGTAGTAGTAGTAGTAGTAGTAGTAGTAGTAGTAGTAGTAGTAGTAGTAGAGCCATTCGAGAGGGTTCTGATTTTCGTACGCTTGTTGCGTCACTCCGGCATCATAGATCTCAAGCTCCGGTGATACGCTCTCTCTGGCAGAATTTGATGCGCTGTGGCGGGCATCATGGCTGCTTCGCTACTGATATCCGCGCGCGTTGCAGGACGGACCTCGGGAGCTGCAAGGCGCGCGCACACGATTGGCTGGGAGAGGCTGTGGGGTAACTCCGCCATGTCTACCACTTCGCTGCGAACATCGGGCTATTGCCACAAGGCTTTATCCTAGGTAAGATGCACGAATAATTATTCTAAAAGTCGGATCCAGAACACATTGCGCCCACTGCGTACTCTCAGCTGTGTAATGCGCGAGTCTGTCTTCCGAGCGTTGCTTCAAGCGCAGTGGCAGAGCGTGCCGTATCCGACGTACTCGCCTCGCCTCGCCCGTCGGCAATGACCGCTGCGGCGGGCATCTTCCCGCCACCGATCCCCTTCTATTACCTCATAAATTCGGAAAACTGAGCTTGCAAATTTCGCCAAACTCGATCTTGCGCAAGGCGTGACTCAGCAAAGTATGGGTCTGGGGAAGCAGAATCCTGGGGTCGACTATCCCTTGCGTTCAAACATCATCTTTGGCGTGCAACAACATGGCCGCCATTGGACCGGATCCACCGACTGAAGAGTTCAGCCAGATCGAAGAGGAGGAAGTTGCGCCGACCAAGCAAGAAGTATCTTCAACCTTTGATGTGACGAGAGTCGCGTCTACCGAGCCGCCTCCTAATGGCGGATGGGTCGCATGGTCACAAGTGCTGGGTGGGCATATCATCACCTTCTTCACCTGGGGCTTCATCACATCATTTGGTATGTTCCAAGCGCACTACACCTCCATTGGACTGTCAACCGCGTCCAATATCTCATGGATCGGTGCACTCACCGTCTTCTTCCTGCTGTCCATCCCTCTTTGGTCTGGCGCCGCGTCAGACACCGGTCATTTCAAGCTTGTTCTGCGTATGGGCATTGGACTATGGCTTATCGGCATCTTCATGACAAGTATCTGCAAGGAGTACTGGCAGTTCGTGCTTGCGCAGGGGTTTTGCATCGGTTTCGCAAATGGGTGCATGTTCGTGCCCATGGTATCCGTTATCTCGACATATTTCGATGCGACAAAGCGGAGTTTTGCAATCAGTATCACGCTATGCGGGTCGGGCACGGGCGGGTTGATTATTCCAATCATGCTTAACAGGTTGATCGATCGCATCGGGTTTGGATGGGCGGTGAGGACGTTAGGCTTCATGGCACTGATCATGCTATTGATTGCTGAGCGGCTGCTGAAGAAACGGCTTCCACCAAAGGTTGCGGTCAAGATGCTCGAACCGAGTGAGCTCAAGGACCCGGTCTTTGATCTTTTCGTAAGTGGTCTGATTCGACGAACCTGGGACGTCTTTGCTAATGTACACAGATTCTCGGCTCGGTCTTTTGCTTCGCAGGTCTTTGGTTCGCTTTCTTCTATGTAAGTACAACCCGCAATCTTCTTCAGCCACATAACTGACCTTGTTCAGATCAATGCTTTCGCACGAAGAACCTTGGGTATGACGTTGGAAGAATCGATACCGCTCCTCTTGGTGCTAAACGGCATCGGCATTCCGGGACGTCTGCTACCCGCGTACGTTGCTGGCCGCTATTGGCGGCCATTGACGATTAGCTTAATCGTTAGTTTCGTCACTGCTCTTCTACTATATTGTTGGATTGCGATCACTTCGACAGCAGGAATGTATGCCTTTGCGGCGCTTTACGGCTTGTTTGCTGCAGGCTTACAAGCCATGTTCCCTGCAACACTCGCCGATCTCACCCTGGACAACAAGAAGATTGGAACAAGAATGGGCATGGGGTTTGCCTTGTCTAGTTTTGGTTGCCTTATTGGAGGTCCTGGTGGAGGTGCATTGGTTGAAGTTGGCAACGGATCCTATCTGTATGGACAAGTACTTGCTGGCTCATGCGGTGTATTGGGCTTCATGTGTTTCTTGATAGCGGCATTGATACATAAGAGGCAGGCAAAGCTGTTCGATGGCGTGTAAAAAGGTGTTGTGGCGGCTCATGTCCTCACTGCTTTCGGTCGATATCGTTAAGCGTTGCACCACATTCGTGCAATATAGGAGTCTAAGTTTCGCTGCCGTATCATTGTATTAATTCTGTGCAAGGACCACGAAAGCAAGAACGAAGAAGCTTGAATCGAAGGAGGTACCCATTCGTGAAATTGGGTCGTGTTTCTCATGCATGTTTTGTGCACTACCTACGTTTACTCGTTGTTGGGCCTTCCGCGAGACCGTGGGACTAAAGAATGAAGATGAGTGAGGTGTTAATTGCCTACGAGGGTGCGTTTGAATTGTACATCTATGTTTTTTGTTCGTTCTCATAACACTTTGACTATCACCTAAAACACGCCCGGAATAGGTGGCCCCCAGATCTTGAGCGCCTGTGGCCCAGCAGGAACATGCGATACTTCCGTCTCAGCATTGACCAAATCGCCATCTGCATAGTGCTCCTTGTAGCGCTGTTAGTATCATGCCAATCAAATCATGAATAGTGTTACCTACCAATATGAACTTGCTAGTATCAAACCAGTAGTCAAAGACTTGACTTCCGAGGACATGCTGTACCCGGTTAGCGGCTCGTCAATAATTATGGAGTTGATGTGACCAACTCTTCCCACACCCCAACAACTCTCATATCCTTTCGACTCAAGATAATTGTGGCCCAACTGCTCGACGTCAAAGTCATGGGTCTCAAACGCAGAATGCGCAACAGTAGGTTCGTAATCCGGTTTGACCCGCTTAAAAAAGAAGGCATGGTGATCCGTGTACTCCAAACCACGATCGATATGGAAGAAGCATGTGATGGGCTTATCATCTTTGTACACGATATCGGATGGAGCGAGAGCGAGAGTCTTGGTGTACCAGTCATACATCTGTTGATACGCGCCATCTGGATATGTCACACCGTAGTGTCCCCAGCGATGAACGGGAGCTGGGCCGGGCTCAAAGCGATGGAATTTGCCCTTTCGTGGCTTTTCGTCCTCGTAATTGACGACCAGTTTCTTTAGAGTTGGCGGCTCGGCCTCATTCTTCTGTTGACCATGAATGAGATAGACATGGTGGCCCACAGGGTCGGTGAGCTTAACATAATCCCCTCCTCCTGGAGCGTCGAGAGGTGCAATAGAAGTAGCTCCATCCATCTGACTTGCGCGTTCCAGCTCTCCTCTACTCTCCACCTCATATGCTGCTCCTTCGAAACTGCTCTTGCCGTCTGCTTGACGTGCGATGTATACAAAGGGCTCCACGCCATACCCTTTGAAGAAGATCTGTTTTTGGGGATCTTCTCGCGCGATGGACAGTCCGAAGTCGAGGAGAAATTGACGCGCCTTGGTTAGGTCGGCATGGTAGTAGATGACGAACGCCGTCGCCTTGAGACGGAGCCTCATGTCGTTGTCAGGTATCGGCATGCCGTATGATTAAAAAAAAAAAAAGGTGTAATAATCTATGCGCAAGCGTCGTTGGTTGAGCGGATGATATAAAGTGCTGCCATCTGATGTATGTTGATCTGCGCTACTAACCTCGAGCTGTCAGCTCAAGCATGTGGAGGCTATGTAGCTCGCCTTCCACGACCGCTTTGCATCAGTGGTTCAACGTAGGTACCGTTACAGTGTCATCGGTTGACGGTGTCAGGTTCCAGAGAGCTAAAACGCTGGGGTTCGTAAAAACCAAGTGGGTTGGCAATTGCTGTGGTTCTGACGTAGGCGGGTAAGGTGGTGCGAGCACATTGATACCACCTTATCCTGGGGATCTTATCTGCTCTAGTGGCTAGCGTCTGGTCAAGACCGATCAACTCAAACCGGAAATTAGTTTGTCAAACTTTGGAATCTCCATGAGACATTGCGAATACATCTTCTGAGGAAGAGTGATTTGCACAGTGCGCAAAGTGTCCCCGGTGTGATTGACGCACTGTGAACAGAAAACGGGTTGATGCATTCCGTCCTGCGTCCGATATACTTGAGAACGTGTATACACAGTTACTGGAAGAACTTGATTTATTCATAGTATTCTGGCGCTAAGTTGTACTGAAAGAGTACATCACGATCGTGTCCGAAGATCAGTCGCGCATTGGTCAACTTCTGCAATGAGTGTATCATCTGGTTGGATCTCGACCAAGATGCATGGTCCCTGGTAAACCAACCCTGGGTGGCAAGAGATTCGTAGTTCTCTTTGATGACATATTGGTCAGTGGTAAAAACCCACGTCCCGCTAGTTTTCAGGTTCACCTGGAGAATGGAGAGGCCGGGGGTATGGCCAGGGCTGTGGCGGATGATCAACCCAGTGTTTAGCTCGAACCCGTCGCCGTGGAATGGTTTCCAGTTAAGATCAAATTGAAGATAGGTAGGTAGATAGACACCTGCGTAGAGTTTCCAGTCAGCTTTGCCGATCTCGTGATTCACGATGTGCCATAAGACGCATCACGACTACGAGTGAGGCGCATGTCTCGGTGACAATGACTTACCAAGATCTGTCTTCGTCGCAACGCTGTAAAATGCGTTCTTCAGTTCCTGCTCATGTGTGTAAATAGGAACATCCGTTCCCCGAAAATGCTCCAATCCTCCAGCATGATCAAGATGAAGATGCCCCATGATGACGGCCTTCACGTCTTTGATGTCATTGCCAGTTTTCCGAATGGCAGCATCCAAGTCATGATCCTCGCAATAATTTTCCCGAGCAAAGATGTCGTTGAGCTGTGGTCCCCAAACGTCTGGGTAATCCTTGCCAGGACCAGTCTCGAAGAGCACGAGCCCCTCGGTAGGATGAGAGATCAAAGCACACATCATTACCATTGATCTTCGAGCATGTTGTTGCGGGTTCAAATTGCTTGCAGTAGAAGCATTCGCCTACATAACCCGAGTCAGTCGGCTGTTTTCTGAATCCAGCGCCGGCGTTGCTGTGCTGAATGGATTGAGACGTACCCCGGTGATCATGAAAGCCTCATCAGCTACCACATCTCCTACATGAAGAAGCCAAAGCTTCGTCCCCTGAAAGCATGATGAGTACAACACGTTGTTCTGGAAAGCGAGTGCCTACATCAGGTGCCAGACTCCCAGGAATGTTCATCCTCCCAGATCGTTTCCGCGTGGACAGTCCTGTATTGACGTAATGAAGTCTGGCAAGTGGACTACGTGATGAACTTAGCGGAGCCTGTGAAACCACGTAAACAGACGTCGCTGCTTGCTATTATGTAGACATAGACCATCTGAAAAGCCACCTGTGCATCTGGATTCTGACTATGCGCGTTGTAGTACGCTTTTACCCCGCTTCAAAAGCAGCCCAAGTAGCCCACATAGTCAAGCTGCGTGTTGTCCGCGAATGCATTCCCACAATCAAGGCCGCAACTTATCGCTGACAAATTTAAATTGATTCGGCTTAAGCCTCTGTATTCTGGTACAGCGGATAAGGTGGTATGCCTTGGCTGGTTCCTGGGTCGGAAAGCGGATACGCTGCCTTCCGACCACTGATGTTCATGCGCGTTTCCGAGAACCACATTGAATATGCTGATGGAGAAGTGAAAGTTGATGAACCCCGACAATACATAGAAGCTTCTTTTGCCTCGAGAGCTTTGCGGCCTGCTAGCTCCAACTCTTCTTCTCTATTCCGCGATTAGCTGTTCACCATGTCTTCAGAGCCAGTTGCGTGGGATAGATTTGTTCGTTACATTGCGCAAGGAGCTGACCAGAATATTCGTTATGGCGACCCAATCGTTTCAGCCTCAGAAGTGGATTTAATTGCTCAAATTGCAGAAGAAGGAAGACTTGAAGTAAAGGTGTTGCATGGAAACGACCCGCTGAGTGCGACACCAACGGGCGAGATCAACAAGGTGGCGAGGCTCCTGGGACCGCTCGAGCCAGCTCATGTCCCCATCATCCGTTGCATTGGATTGAATTACAAAACACACAGTATGTATGGGGTTGGAACACTGGTAGGAGAAGCGCCCGATCTAACAAATTGCAAGTTCTCGAGACCGGACGGCCGCTTCCAACGTGTCCAACGGTCTTTACCAAGCCAGGGCCAGCCGTTGCAGATCACGGCGAGGACGTCCCAATTCCTTGTTTCGCGCAGGAGCAATGCGATTACGAGGGTGAACTGGTCGTTGTCATCGGCAAAGACGCAAAGAATGTAGCGGAAGCCGATGCGTTAGACTATGTGGCTGGATATACTGCAGGTAACGATGTGTCCGCGCGCGACTGGCAAAGAGAAGCTGGGAAAGCAGGGCCTGTTCCGCAGTGGTCCTTTAGCAAGTCATTCGACAAGTACGCGCCGCTGGGACCGTGTATCGTAGCCACTCATATCCTAGGAGAAGCCAACAAACAGCCGCTGAGGACGATGGTCAATGGGGAAATCAGACAGGAAAGCAATACGTCAGATCTGTGCTTTGGCGTCCGACGACTTGTCGCATTTTGCAGTCAAGGCCAGACTCTTCAGCGAGGCTCGTTGATCATGACCGGGACGCCAGGTGGAGTCGCCCTGTTCATGAAGCCGCAAGCCTTTCTCAAAGATGGAGACAGGGTCGAGGTGGAGATTGGAGGAATTGGCCGAATGTCGAATCGCATGTCGTTTGATGCATGATGAGAAATTGGATGGCACGTGTCGTTGAATCCATGTGCGTAGAGGTAGATGGCAGGAATTGGTACCATGTGTCCATAGTAATTCAAGGCGTGATCTTGAATCCTAGAAAGCGTGTGTAAGCATATCGAGGCAAGACGGGTGGCGGGTGCTGACGGTCAAGGGGTAAGACATCAGCTAGCTCAACCCCGCAGCCCTCGCCCGCCGGTCGCGTTAGCGTGCCAAGAGCAACCCGACGGCTCAAGTGCTGAGCCGACAGTCAGTGCCAACATGCATAACATGCCTTCGCCGCGCCATGGGGGAGCCGTTGGGGCCCTCCAAGTCTTTCATCTCATCCTCACATCATGTACCCATGCACCAAATGCGAAAGGACATATCGTACGCAAAACTCCTTGACGCGTCATCAACACAGCCACCAAAAGACCTGCAAGCACCGCTGTTCAACCTGTGGCGTCGTCTTCCATCGCAGGGATCTTTTGTCGCGACACTCGAAGCTTCATCAGCCTTCGTCTCTCAACGACACAGTTGAACCACCATCTGCCCAGACCGGCAGTGCCATTACCGCATCGGGAAGGCAGCGATGTCATACAGCGTGTCTCCGATGTAGAGAGTTGAGGACGAAATGTGATGGACAGCGTCCGTGCTATACATGTCGGAACACCGACTCTTCCTGCCAATACTCCAGCCGTTCCAACAGGCTGAGCCAGGTTCTTCCGCATGTCGCGACACCGGCCGCCGATGCACCTCCACACGAGTCCAACCAACATGGCGGCCAGCCAGACAATGTGGGCTGTTTGTTGTACGAGGGATCATGCCTGCCTACCCAGAGCGTTGAGCATCCTAGGGAAAACGATCCCCATCCAGGTATCCATCATGTAGGCCAGAGCTCCCCAGACAGACAGTCAATTTACGATACGTACAATGATTGCTCGTTGGCGGGCATATCTATTCGTCCCGAACACTCCACATCCTCCGTCGCAACCGGTGAGACGTCCGATGCTGGAACCATGTCTTGGCCGTGGCTACACGAAAACCTCTTTCTACCTGCCGACTCCCACTCGTTTGCCAACATGATGAGCTCTGTGCAATTTCCATATTCCCAAGACGAAACGCTTGCCGAACTTGATTTGGAATCTTTCAGCAATCTTAGCTCACTGCCAACGCAGAGTCATGCTAGCCAACCGGAAGTAGAAATTCTCTTAGGGCAAGCTTCTACATCAGACGGATCGAGCAGCACCGCACATGACCAAGCCTCAACAAATATCTTTGCCACGGGCACGTTGGCGGATACGTGTAAGTCATTGTTCGATAGCATGGTGTGGAGTATTCTTACTGAGATGAAAACAGGCAGTCTGGATCAAGGTGTGTCGATCACATCCAGGGAAAATCAAAATCTGGTTATTGAGAATCTAGTCGGACTCGCATCCTCACCAACGTGGAGTAATCAGTCAGACAAGGACCATGCAAACTCCTGGGCCCTCGCTTCTACCAAAGTTGCACTCGCATTTGGGCTCACTGATTACCAAGAGTGCTCGGGTTCGTCAGCGCTCTACGACTTCTGCGCCAAGTACGTAGAACACTTTGGACCACTATGGCCCCTGTTCAGCTTACAAACCTTGGACCTCGACTCTCTTCATCCAATCCTATTTCTCGTTCTTACTTCGATCGGATCGATGTATTGCGGCTCGAACGCGAGCAATTATGGGGCCATGATGCATGCCACCATCCGGAGCACTCTGACCATGGTATGGGAGCTTGAAAACGAAGAGCTCGGTCTTCTCTGGCTGGCACAAGCGCGGCTGCTGACTCAGGTAGCTGCGTTGTATTTCGGACAGCCAAAGGCTTTCACCTACGCCCACCATCTCGGCGCATTGCTGGTCGCACAAGCTCGTAGGATGGATCTCTTTTCAGCCGCATATTTCAACAAAGCTATGCAAAGGCTACAACACATGAAAGACATTGCTTCAGATGAGGAACGTCTTGAGATGTGGTTGCAACTGGAGACACGCCGACGACTAGCATTTGGTATATTCCGCGGCGACAGCTACACTAGTGTGTTGCTACACAGCAAACCTCTAATCTCAATGGAGGAGATTGACCTTCAGCTGCCAATGTGCGACGCTATATGGCGAAGCAAGAAAATGTCCGCTAGCTTGTGCCTGCAGATGATAGAGCTTGACCAAACGCCTAGTAGAGAACTTTGGGCTTCTGATATCTATCGCATCGCCATGGATAAAAATGAGCCACTTCCACCTCTGGATCCTGCAGGACAAGAGCTTCTCATGTTCGGGCTGCAATACTCCATCTGGCGCTTTTCCAAGGACCAGAATATGTTCGCCCGTCTGTCCGGAGATCTTGGAGGCTTTGACAGCGATGACCTATCATCAGTTTCCTCTGATAGTCCCTCCGAACCCATTCTCGGCAGGAACCCTGGTTCAGAAAGACCAAGTACAAGACGTCTATCAAATAGCGCTACCAAGTCTTCAGAGACACACTGCTTGGATAGTACAGTACGTCGAATGGAGGATTTACGGCAGCAGCACCGACGTTTACTTTCTGCTCTAGAGAAGTGGGAGCAAGGCCTTCCTCTAGTCAAGACATTCGTGAGAACCAATCTCGACCGTAGCTGTTTGATGAGTGGTCTAATACTCTTTCACTTGGGGCATCTTCGCCTACATGTCCCACTTGAAGACCTCCATCAAATCCAGTATCGACTCGCCGATAACCTTACTGTCGAAGACCGTCTCGTTAGTAAGGCGCGTAAATGGGCCAACTCACGACAAGGTCGGATTGCGGCTGAGCGGGCCTGCAGTATCTGGAAGATTATAGACCGAGAGTCAAAGCTGGAGAAAGAAAAGAGAGTAAACTTCAATCTCTTGGCTTTCATAGGTTTACATCACAGCGCAGTAGCTGTATGGGCATACACAGGAACACGTAATGACAAAGTCAATAGAAACTTTGTAGAGTCTTCAAACGTACTTGAAGGGCTCGAGGAAACCACTGCTATTGATCCGCAGGGAATTGGCATACTGTCGTCGTTTGTGGATTTATACGGCCGCATAAGCCCCGCAGGCTGGTCGTCGTTTGCGAAAGCAGCAGCCACGCTATCAAAGCAGCATTTTCCCGACACAAAGGGATATTGATTGAGATAAAGTGGTGTGCGATGGAATTGAGAGGCTACCAGCAGCGCGCACCACCCAAGCACGTTCAAACATTAGATGTTGTGCTTCGACTGGGTTATGTAGAAGTATCGGTCATTATTGTGCAACTTACAACCAGTACCCCAGCCACATGACGAAATATCACGCTTCTAATCGTCTGAACCTCAACCAACAGGAGCCCGTCTTCGATCCAGCTGCGAAGACGTCCGCCAGAGCCAGATTGTCTTCTTCCATGCCGGGAGGCATTGTTGCTTTGAACTTGCGAAAGATCAAACCTAGCATGTACTTGAGTTCTGTCAAAGCCAGATTCGAGCCCGGACAGGCACGGGAACCATGGCCGAACGGAATCCAGTTCAGTTTCATACGTTCATCAGCACCGATCCAACGCTCAGGCTTCCAAAGCTGCGGCTCTGGATAGACCTCTTCTAGCTGTCCCTGATTGAGCGCTGCGGTCGATGCGATCACGCCTCTTGGGACTTGCTTTCCAGCGATTACAAGATCCTTCCCCAAATGTCTTTCGAGTGGCCCTGGGATCATAGGGTACATCCGCATGGTCTCCCGAATAACACCGTCGAGAAATTCGAGATTCACGGTGCGCTTGATGTCGAAGCTGTCCAAGTCGGGCAAGGCTTCAATGAGTTCCGCACGAAGTCGCTCTTGAGCCTCGGGATGGCGAGTCAGAAGCCAGCAAGCAAACGCAGCGGTATGCGAAGTAGTTGAGGAACCCGCCGCGAGCATCTCGACCATGTATGCGGGAATGTCTTCCGGAGGAACGGCAGATGCGTTTACTTTGTTCATAGACTGCAGCATCGAGAGAACATCCTTTTGTCGTCCAGCAGCGTTCTCACTAGTCTTCCAGCGGTTCAACGCTTCTTTTGCCGTGACATCCATATCATGGCAATCGTTCCTTAAAGTCTTCCACTTCTCATTGCCGAACCATCTGACGTAGAAATCCGCTCCAGGGATGAAACTCTTCATCGCATTCCAAGTGCTAAACGCGTGAAATCGTCGAAGGAAAGCTGGTGCGTCGTTCTCCTTGTAGCTGTGCAGCAGTCTGTGTTCTTCGGCCCAGAGTACATCGGTTACAATGTCCAACGCAAGCAAGCGGAAGACGACGACTCCGTCAACGGCTTCTTCGTTCTCATCCTTACGATGGAGCAGCTGGATGAAATCCTCGACGTGCGACTGGATGTTCTCTACCAAAGCCGCGAGGTTTTTGTTCTGGAAGCACTGAATCAGATTGTTGCGTGATGGGGCTGCAGAAGGGTAGTCCACGAAACCGAGAGTGGACACGACGCCTTTCCAGCTTCCCATCGAGGAGTAGAAGGAGGTCTTGAGTGCAGATTTGTCATATATCGTTTTCATCGCATTTTCGTCCACAGTGTGAACTTGATCCGTTGCGATGACGACAATGGGTCCATACTGATCAAGAAGCTTCGTGACGTAGGCCGACCGTCTACGCTTGTACGTGGCATATTTTAGTGGCAGCTTGGAGACCCGTGCGTACCAGGGGCCTGGTATGTGTCTAACTGGAGACATGAAGAAAGGATATAAGATCTACAATTCGTTCTTCTGTCAGTTTCGTTTGAGATTTTGAAAGCAAGAGGATGGGCGTGGCTCACAAGAGTGTTCAACAGATACAGGGAGACAGCAATCAGCGCCCATCGAAGCATCAGCTGTGGTCTGGCAGGACTCTCTGCTACTGCTGCAGCTATTACCGTCATGATGGATTGCGCCAGATGACACCGAAGTTCTGTGCAACGAAAGTATTTTTTACAGGATTTTGATGATCAAGAACGCGTTGTACAGGATGATTCTTCTGCGAAGACCTTTGGCGGCGGAACTTAGTGTCGCACAGGTCTCCTTAACGTGATATCCATATCCTGCTCAATTTCCGACACCCGGAGAGAGCTGCCACAAAAGCCGTCCGGCATTCGTGTGACGTCATGGATTATTGCAGCACTTGCACCCTAGCTCACAGCATTGGCCGCAAACCTAGCTTAACTTTGGCGAGGCTATAACCTTCCTTCTCCAATATTTACATCACTCCCCCATCTTTCGGAATACAGTGGCTCTGTACGAAGGTCGACTTCCGGTCCTACCCCGCAGCCACTGTCATGCGCTCAGAATTACCTCATTGCTGTGGAATACACTGCTGAGAACCAGCGTACATGCTCCGGATAAAGTGGTATGTAATCGGCCAATAGCAGATCGAGTATAGAGATCTCCGAGAAGATTGAATGACTGGAACTAATCAGACTGCGTCCTTCAGCAGTGCCTGATGAAGCCGCATCTAGAACCCAGAGTTTCTGCGCTTATGGTCCTTTGCACGCGACGCAAGCGGAATACATACCACTTAGTAGGCCGAAAGTCTACACAGGTCGTGGGCATGTCACGACAGACCATGGGAATGATAGATTAGTCTCGACTAGACTTCGCGTATGCCTTCAAGATGCTTGGCCGTTAACAGTATGATGTGCTCTTGGTGGTGAACATATCTGCTGCACTCGGCGTTCAATCAAGTTTGTACAACAAACCGCACCTATTTATCGAAACATGGGATATCCTGTAGTCATCATTGGTGCGGGCCCCTCTGGCGCCACCACTGCATTGCTGCTGGCTCAACAAGGTGTCAAGTCGCTTTCGATATCGAGGCACAGCGGCACCGCGAATACCCCCCGAGCGCACATCTTCAATCAAAGAGCAATGGAAGTTTTGAGGGACGCGGGTATCGAGGAGAAATTGGGCATGGTAGCAAGCACTGCAGAATGTATGTTCGCTGCGTTGGAAGTACCAGCTACAATATCCCAAACGTTGAGCATGCACTAATTGATTGTAGGTATGCAGCATACCTCCTGGCTGAACACACTAGCTGGCGAAGAGTACGGTCGCGTTTGGGCTTGGGGTAACAGGCCATCCCAAAAAGGCGACTATGAGCGAGCCAGTCCTTGCGCCATGTCGGATCTGCCTCAAAGCTACCTGGAGCCAGTTCTGATCGAAGAAGCCACGAGGCAAGGTGCCGAATTCCGATTCTACACTGAATTCGTGCGTTTTGAGAAGATAGATGACGGAATCGTTACGACCATGCGAAATAGATCGACTGGAGAGGAGTACAACATAACATCCAGCTATCTGATAGGAGCAGATGGCGCCCGGAGCGCTGTGTTGCAGGCTTTGGGTATACCAGTAGTTGGCCGCCAGCTCAACACCGCTTTCAATATCCATATCAAAGCCGACCTATCGAAGTACATTCAGCATCGGCCAGGAAGCCTCAACTGGGTACTGAACCCAGTTGCGCCAGAGTGGTCGGCTGTGGGTAACTTTCGCATGGTCAGGCCTTGGACGGAGTGGGTGGTGTCGATGCACCCAGCGACGAAGGACAAGAACAGCTCTCAGCCAACCAAGGAGGCCATTCTGAAGCGATTGTACCAGATGATTGGCGACGACTCGGTTGATATTGAGATTTTATCCTCGTTTTCCTGGACAATCAACGATCAAGTTGCTGAGAGTTGGCAAAGCGGAAGGGTGCTGTGTATCGGCGACGCGACACATAGGCATCCCCCTATAAACGGACTCGGCAGCAACACGTGCATATCAGACGCTTTCAACATCGCCTGGAAGTTGGCTTATGTTATCAAAGGCTTAGCTTCGTCATCTATCCTAGATACCCTTACGGTCGAGCGGAAGCCCGTAGGCGATAGTATCGTCCGCCGCGCGAACGATGGAATGGAGGCGCATCGAACACTATGGGCACTTATTGGCCTGGATGATTCGTCCAGGAAGAAGGCCACCGATCTGCTCAAGTCCGACTCGACAGAAGGAGAGAAGATGCGCGATCAGTTTCGAGACGCATTGGAAGCTACTGAGGATGAAGTGCAAGCACTGGGCATCCAGATGAACCAGGTCTACCTGAATTCATCTGCAGTGGTGATCGAGAGCGGAGATATCGCTCCAGATTTCAATCATGTAAACGCTTTGAGAGAGATTAAGACCAGCACCTATCCCGGGTATCACCTTCCACATGTCTGGCTAGCAGCCAATGGGCAAGCGAAAAGACTCTCAAGTCTGGATCTCTGTGGACGAGGGTCTTTCACATTACTCACAGGCGTCGGCGGCGATGCTTGGCTACATGCAGCGAAGGAGGTTTCGGACACGAGTGGAGTATTCATTCGCGCCTATAAGATCGGCTTCGGAGGCGACTACATGGACGCATACCGGGAGTGGTATCAAGTGAGAGGTGTCGGGGAAAGAGGAGTTGTGTTGATAAGGCCTGACCACTTCGTTGGCTGGCGTTGCGTGGATTTGGTGGCAAACCCAACGGCGAAGCTTTCGGAAGTGTTGCAGCAGATCTTGGGCAGGGCATAGTATAGATATTGCTTGAACATCTTGTAAACAGTCTAAGATTTCACGAATGAATGTGACAATTCAATTGTAATGTAATCTTATGTGAGCACAACACAATCATTCCATGTCGGCCACAGCAGTCAAATTCTGGAGCTGCGTGAACTGATGGCATGACCTAGCTTTCTTGCTGATCTATAAGGAGGAACGATCTACTCATGACTGCAGTACCGCTGGCTGTGGGCTATCATCGCGATTACGGGTCATGAGCGTGATCGACGACTGCACTGAGTGCCGTGACTGATGGTAGAGTTCATACCGGCTGCTGGCGGCATTCTCCTTCCGTCGGCTAGAATGAGCGGTATAGCTATGTGTGTTATGACCTGTATCTGCCGCCGATTTCTTGGTCACGAGTGCTAGGTTTGTATGGCATCTTGATTGCCCGCTTCCCCGCGACGTCACTACAGCCTACGCTTGAAGAAGGTTGAATGCCACTTTACCCATGCCACATGGATGTACCAAGCCGTACTCTGTTTCGTTGAACACTTTTACCAGAATGCTGATGCCACCAATGTACCCCAGACTGCAAGGAGGTTCGGCAGCGCCAATACCACTTGGCATCCGCGTTTGCGTAGAGGCGGGTTACAGTCTTGGCGGGTGGTGCGCTCAAAGTGTCATCTCTGCGCATTGCGATAGATATATGGGAAGACATCGTTGACTGGAGGGCGCAGTCCCATTCTTGAGAATTCGCTATCGGCACAGCATCTCCTCCGCTCATCCTTCCCAACAACTGCAACTCGATACATATACCCTTTGAGAACAAGTCCTCAATCGCCTGTACGCCATAGAAGATGTCTAAAGTCGCACTGATTACGGGCGGCAATGGAATAACGGGCTCAGCCATCATCGAGCACCTCGTGAAGAATACGACTTCTGCCGAATGGAGGAAGATTGTCGTCACGTCGCGATCGCCCTTCAAGACCACCGTTCACGATGACCGTATCATGTTTATAGCCCTCGATCTTACCGATAATCCCGATGCCTTGATCAAAAAGATGCGCCCAGCATGCCAAGATGTCACTCATGCATACTTCTCTTCGTATGTACACAAAGACGACTTTGCGGAGCTCAATCACGCGAATGAAAAACTCTTCGCTAACTTCCTGGACGCTCTGCTGGCCGTGGCTTCCAGTCTGGAGAACTGTACGCTTCAGACTGGAGGAAAACACTACAATGTTCACGTCAGTCCCGTGCCATCTCCAGCTCGGGAGGAAGAGCCCAGAAGGGAAAGTCCACTTGGCAACTTCTACTTCCCACAAGAAGACTACCTGACGAAACGCCAGACTGGCCAGAAATGGACGTGGAACGTCATCCGTCCAGAAGCCATTATCGGCCACACGTCCAAGCCAAACGGCATGAATTCAGCTTTGACATACGCCTTGTACTTTCTCGTTTGCAAAGAGATGGGCGTCGAAGCGCGTATGCCGACGAACCAGCTGTATTGGGAAGGATACGACGACCTTTCTGACTCCGGACTTATTGCCGACCTGACCGTATGGGCCTCCACACATCCACACGCTGGAAATCAGGCCTTCAATGTCGTCAACGGTGACTATTTTTCGTGGAGATACATGTGGCCACGCATCGCAGCCTACGCAGGGGCCCATGCAACAAGTGAGCAGGTCTTTGAAAAGCCTCGTCCATCGGAAGGAGAGACACAACTAGATCTCAGCTTGGCTGAGTGGGCTGTGGATAAGCAAGAGGTCTGGGAGCGCATCTGTGACAAGAACGGTTGTCCCGAAGCGAAGGCGACTTGGGCATCAGGTACGTGGGCCTTCCAGGACTGGGTGTTTCAGCGGACATGGTCGGCAACATTGAGCGTTAACAAAGCGAGGAGATTTGGGTGGACCGGTCATATCGACTCTTACCAGTCGTTGACTGACGCGTTCGATAAGTTTGTTGAGCTGAAGCAGATACCAGCGTTGTAGCATAATGGTAGTTTGTAAAATCAATGACCAGGTCTCGATACCGTGTCTTGATCACTTTCGCTGGCTTTCCTATTGCTTGCTCGTGAAATGCCAGGCAGAATAATTCATGTCGCTGCTCAAGAGTCCTCTGACCTGTAGTATGTTGACCGACGATACGCTGGAATTGCTGGTGTTGCATGCCGATGGTGTTCCACCATAATACACGAGCCACCACAGGTGTGGGTAACGCGTATCTGCGCGTTGGTCGCAGTCCCTTCCTAAAATATAAAATAGGTGGAGAGATTTCGCAGAGCCTTGCCAAATGGAGACGCGACCACGTGCTGTAGGATCCTCCACGATGAAAGCGCTTGTCGCAATGGCGGACCATATAATATCGTGGCCCTACTCTGCAGCTTCCGTTGAGATAAACGCTGTACATTTCCCACAGTCGTCGTTGACATGTGGCATGACTATCGACGCATGTACTAAAATTTCCGTCAATAGGTGACTAGTCGCAGACACCGCAACACGGCTTCCCCGGCTTCGTTCGCTGTTGTTTCTTCCCTTCGCCCTCGACCGATATCGCCATACGCCAGACTATCAAGCAAGCAACTGGGTCGTCGATGTCCTAAGATCCAGTCTCCTTTCTTGCGTTGGACTGTCCGCGGCTTACAAGGTTCGCTTAGAGCGAATGAAGCCTTGCACCGGATTGGACTCGGGACTGCACCGCATCGCGGGGTCGCCCCGTGATGGCGTTCGGCTCGTGTTTTGGATTTAAGGCTATCGCAAGTGTTAGGCAGATGCGAGGAATGCATAGTCCATGCTTTGTTGGAAGAGAAGTTGTTCCATTCCACCAAAAACGCGCGCCTGTTGGGCCGAGGAAGTGCCTGGAAAGTAACGAGCTCCCCGAACCCCTCATCACTTTCCGTCACTTTGGCACGAGCATGCCAGGGCAAGCACATGCGGGAAGGGCTGCACAGCTTCGAAGCCAGCCGGTGATAGCGTTGGCACCGCCACTACTGATTGGCCAGCACCGTTGAATACGGGGTGCCCCTTGGCCATCGCCTTTAGCGGCCGCGTCTGCGGGCGGTGCGTGGTGTGCGCCCTTCGCTGTCCTCACCACTAGCAGCACAGTCGATACCGGAAAGACAGGAGACGGAACTACACATCAGCCATCTTGTGCCATATCTCATCGCATCCTCCCAGGTCTCAACAGTGGTGGCCCCACGGGTAGTCTAACCATGCCAAAGCGATCGGCTGGCTGCTTCGAGTGCAGGAAAAGAAAGGTTCGATGCGACGAGACCAGACCAGAGTGCAATACCTGCGTGAGGCGTGGAACAAAATGCCCTGGCTATCGGCCAGCACAGGCTTTCATTCTCCACAACTTCGATGCACACGGAGAAAAGCCATCCCTGATCAAGGAGGATGAGAATCGCTACAAGTACGCGAGTCAAGCTTCGTCAAGCTCACAAGACGACGCGACTTTCTCAAGCAAGGCCATCATACGCAGAGAAGATGCGCGAACGGAGCCTGAGGATGCGCCTCTGCCGAAGCAGGTCAGCGCAATTGCCGCCGACAGAATACAGCATCTAGGAACCTTCATCGCCTTGTATTTGCCCAGAGCTGAGGGTCCGGCGTTGCCGCCCCCTTCAGCCCTGATGCTTGGCTTACCTACTATGCCCGCGAACAGCCCGGTACTCATGGCTGCAATTGATGCTCTCTCTGCAGCGCAACTGGCGGTAAACAACAGAAATCACCCGCTCATCCATCGCTCCAGGTCGCTATATGGCACAGCCCTGAGTCAGATGTTGCGTGCGATACAAGATCCAGTGACAGCACTCAAAGACGAAACACTGCTATCAACGTATATGCTCACGCTTTACGAGGTACAAGCGATCTCATCCAATGCTCTCGGTATCAGGTCTAACCGCTCGCACAGGTTTTTGTAGGTGTAACACAAGGCCATGGCTTTTTCTACCATGTCCAAGGACTTCTACATCTGCTTAAGCAGCGTGGACCAGCTTCATTCGAGAGTCGATTGAGCATGCAAATTTTCCACGCCATACGGTACAATTCGGTATGAAGAATCATGTTGTCGTATGCTGTACAGCCTCGCTAATGCCTGCTAGCTGAGTATCGGCTACCACATGCGAAAGGCCTCAATGCTAGACAGCATGGAATGGTTAGCAGTGACTGCCAAAGCGGCAAAAGTGGATCCGTACGTGGCTCTGAACGACATCTGCATACACATCCCACGGCTCCTGGAGCGCACGGACAAGGCCACCAGACCAGAATGTCCAAAGGAGGAGATTGATTCCCTCATTGAGGATTCGCAACAAGTCGCTAGCCGTGCTTTTGAATGGCTCTCAACCTTTGAAAGACACGGTCCGCGATACGACACGGTAGACGTTGCCTTCATGGATGGCTTCCTGGATATTTGCGCAGACCGCGTGTTCGATCCTGTCTTCTACTTCCACTACTTTGGGGCCGGCATTTGCTACCTAATCTACTGGATGAGCATGTTGATCTTGCAAGGCAACACATTCAAGTTGCTCCGGCAATATCGACAACTGGATATGAAGCAATTGTACATGTGGGATCGCCAGCTCAACAGCTATGCAGATTCGATATGTCGAAGCGTGCCATACAATTGTCGGCCCGTCACTGGCTACACTGCAAAATTCGGATCTTTGACACCACTTATGGTTGCGAGAAAATACTACGAGATAAAGGGAGCGCAGACCGAAGCAGGATGGTGCGCAAAAGTTTACATGGGCGCGAGAGTGCCGGAGCTCTACCAAGAGCCCATCGCATTAGAGCCTTTCGAAAATGTTAAGAAGACTGTACAGGGCAACCCACGGTACATTTGAATGGTTGCGTGTAGACTATGACGAAATAAATGACAGCATCGCATTTTACTTCCTGCTACACTCGACAGAACTCTCCTTAATGACTCTGTTTGCAAGGCGCACCTACTCTGACATGCGCATGTTACACCAAGTCTGCAGCGTGATCTCGTTTCGACGGAAGCTTGGTTAGTGCTACCGTTTCTCTATTGGCGAGTACATCAAAATGCGCCAAATCACAAGTATAGTCATGTTCGTATCATCGTTTACAGGCTAGGAGTGGTGTAAACTACCTAAAGTTACTCAGAGGTCATCAACTCTGACTTTCGTGTTACTTCATCGCACGCGACGCAATAAAGACATGTTACACTCATAAGGCGACTCATAACTGATTGTACAAGCTGCCTCTGATATTCTCCGCCGTCTCACTCAAAGAAAGCTTTGTCTATATTTGCTTGTCACGATGCGCAGAAACCCATGTACAACAGTCAGCACCCGTTAAAGCGTCTTACCCCGGAAGATAACAATGGCCAATTACTTATTGGAAGATGATCTACCTAAAGGTCAACGAGGGATATGATACAGGCTACAGTCATATAGAAGTCGTTTGCTATCGAGTCCAAGCACGCAAGTCAAGGTAGGCACGGGCCATAGTACAACGGCAAAGACTGAATTGGACTATGGTTTACACGACATGATATATGCTGTGGATAGTACATCCCTGGATATGCTAATGTCACACCTGTTCCTATGTGATGCAAGGTTTGAGTACTTCCCATTTGTAACATTGACTCGACATCTATACAGTTGCTCGTATGATAACCTAGCCCTGTACCTCCGTGACCAACTTGCCCGTGTTGCCACCCTGGAAAAGCATCATCCAAGTCTTAGGCACATCCTCAAACTTAGTCTTAACCACTGTCTCCGTTTCGGGCCCAACCTTGAGCTTACCCTCCTTGACTCCCTTGATCAACTCCTGGATATACTGACCAGCCTTGCCCGACTCAATAGCATCGATAACAATGAAGCCTCTGACCTCAATGCGATTGCTGATAATCTCGAACCAGTTCTTGACGCCGCTGTCGCCCATGGAGTTGTACGTTGCGACGGCGCCGCACGCAGCGATGCGTCCGTGGCGCTTCATACGACCCAGCATGAGTGATAAGATGTCGCCGCCAACATTGTCAAAGTAAACTTCTACGTAACCTTCCGTGGCTTTCTTGAGGTCAGCCTCGAAAGACGCGGCTTTGTAGTCGACACAAACATCTGCGCCCAGACTCTCGACCCAGCGGCACTTCTTTTCACCACCGGCAATGCCGATGACGCGTTTACACCCAAGAACGTGCTTGGCGAGTTGCACAACCATGGAGCCGGTGGCTCCCGCGGCCCCGGAAACGACGACCGTGTCGGAGGAAGAGGCGCGCGCGATGTCGATGAGGCCGTAGTACGCGGTCAGACCGGTTCCGCCGAGTGCGCCGATGAAGTGCGTGGGGCGGATGCCGGCGCTCTCGTCGGCTTGAATGGGTCGAACGGCTTTGTTGGATACAACGGCATATTCTGTCCAGCCGAAGTCGCCCATGACGAGTTGACCCTTGGGCAGGCTGTCGGTGCTGGATTCGACAATTTCGGCAATGGCGAAGGAACGCATTACGCCACCTTGCTTCACCGGCTCCACGTAGAGGCGCTCAGGGTCCATGTCTTTCTGGATCCTGTAGAACCAAGTTAATCGTGTTCTACGGGGGGTTTTTTTTGTGTGGTCAAACTCACCATCCTCTTTGTGCGGGGTCATTGGAGAAGTAGAGTACTTTGATGAGGACTTGATCAGCGTTCGGGCTTGGGAGGTCAATGGTCTGGAGCGAAAAGGTCGCATCGTTGCCCTCAATGACGGGGTCGTTGAGTGGTGGGTTGGCAAGAACCCATTGGCGAGTTTGTTGGCCCGGCATCTTCCTATCTGTTATGGGATAGTGTTCTGTATGCAATTGAGTAGGTGATGTGGTAGTTTGCTGTCGAAATTGTAGATGATTGAAGAGAGTATGTATAATGAGTACGAGATGCGGCCACCCTTTTTAAGTACAACAGCAGCTAAACAGTCTCGAAGCTGCGGTGGGGTCCACCAGATCTTCCACGTTGATCCTGGACAACTCAAGCCCAAACGTAAGAGCATGTAAGGACTTGCTAGCTCTACTTAGTACTTGGCATATAGTCGACTCGAGCTAAGGTAGAGATGTTTACGGTGAACCTCGGCTTTCGGTGGTATCCAATTTTCGCCCACCCTGGCGCGTAACGTGTCCATTGCGTGTCACAGTAGTCTTTCCGCTTTTCGTCCGACACATTTTAGATGATGAGCTACTGAATCGGAGTTGTGTTTGAGAAACACATGCTTAATGACGCGTTGTTTTGTTAATTGAAGAGATAGCGGGGTAGCTTCCAAGTTCCAAGCAGCAAGTACGCATGTAGCAGGTGGGGTATCGATACATGACTCGCACCTATCGTCTTAGATGTCATTGCGATGCATATCTATGTGTGTTTTTTTGTCTAGAGAAGCATTGTAAACTGTTCTCTACCACTTGCCGCCCTTGCCCTTCTTCTTATTCTTGCCCTTCTCTGCGCCACCCTTCTTCTCCTGAGCGGCTGGTGTTCCCTTGTCGTCTGCCACGACTCCACCTTGGGTAAGGCCTTCCATTCTTTTCTTTCCCTTCTTGCCCTTTGGACGGTAGTAGCTCCTATCACGCATAGGGAGCCATCTTTCGGGGTCCATCTTCTTCCCCTCGACATAGTCCTTTGGCATTCTCGACTTGCGCAACCTCTTCGCTCTGGCTGGCGCCTCCTTGGTTGGTGCAAGGCTACGTTTCCGCGACTCAGCTCCAAGATTGATCGACGTGAGGCTACCGAGTGGCACGCCTGCATTTTCAAGTTCAACGGCGTCCACGTCGGAGACCAGTCGGTTGGCTTCTGGTAGATAAGACAAAAGGTCCGCAGGTATTGACGATGGATCCGTGATACTGTATGCGGCTACGAGACCAGCGATAGATGCTCGATCTTCGTTATCCTGGTCGTACAAGCCCTTGAAGATCTCTCCTGCAGATTTAACGTTATCTGGATTATGAGTATCAAGGAGAGCGGTGCCGGCAGCGACCATGAGGGACTTTGATGGGGCCTCTGTTTTCGACTTGTGAGGCTTCCGCCAATATTCGGCTGCTTTTGCTAGCTCGTTCTTTGACGCGCCTGGCCGGCCTTGTTGTGCGTACAGGGAGACGAGTGCGGCAATCAGCCCCGGTGCGAAACGTACGTCGAGATCGGACGCTGAGGCACTCTGTTCCAAACGCTTGAAAAAGGATTCTAGGAGATGTGTTGCCGCAGCGTAGTTGTTGGTGATGACATATAAGTGTGTTATAGTTAGTATGAGACCCACATCGGTCGGTCTCTTTTCTAGCAATGGTACTATTTCCCTCAGCGCAGCCTTCTCGGTTTCTGCATTCCTGGCATGGGCTGCTGCGTTGAGCACCGCCGCCATATTGATGGCAGGGGACAGGGACGGAGCAGGCGATGCAGAGATGACTTTTTCGGTGGACGATGCAACGCCAGCGACCTTTTGCGATAGCAGGGCCATGACATATTCGTCTTGTCGCAGGATGTTGGACTGGTAGGAGAAGTGCTGATCGGTGACGGGGGGTTGCGGCGATGCGTGGAACAGACGATGTGAGAGGTACGGGTTCGAGTGCTCTTTAGAGGCGGCGATGCTATTGACCTGGGCGATGTAGCGGGTTGAGAGCTCCTTGATGCTGCTGCTGTCAGTGTTGGTTCTGAGCCGGGCATGATCATCTTACTCGGCGAAGGGGATCTTGGTGGCCAGCTCCTCTGCTTCATCTATCTTGCCCAATTGCGTCAGCACATAGACCTGCTGCACGGTAATTGGCAGCAACTCGGCCTTCTTCTCTTCCTCACTGAGGTCCGAGAGAGCATTGCAGAGGTCCTTGGCGCGCTTCAGACACACTTGGGCCTGGCCAAACTCATTGCGAGATATGCTGCCGCATGCTGCGTTGAAGGCAGTCTCGAAGACGTCGAGATCCTCACGTGTGGGCTGCTTCTTCTGTGCGAGCTCGCCTTGCCCTGTCCACTCGAGCTGTGCGTCGACGGCGCCCGCATTGATGCGGATATCGTACTCTTCGCTCTGCACGTTCTGGTCGGCCAGGTCCCGGTAGATCTTGGTGGCGTGCGCGAAGTTCTCCGAGCGGTATGCCTGGCGTCCATGTGTCAGCGATGTCTGCGGCCCAGTTGCCTTCGAGTACATACAGCCTGGGCAAGCATGTGCTTCATCCCCCGGCCGGCGTCTGGCCCTGCCGCGGCGGCCACTTCGGCAGCCCTCGCTGCATTGCCAGTCTTGTAGAGCGCGTATGCGTACTCGAACCGCGCCTTCTCCTGCAGCTCGTGTGCACCCTCAAATACTTGCAATGAATCCGCGTAGCGGTCCAGGTGGAGCAGCGCTACTGCTTTGGTGTGCTGCGCATCCAAATCACCCTTTGACCTGCCAAGGGCTGCATTGGTGGCCTTGAGCACTTCGTCGTGGTCGTCGATGGTGGCTTGCGCAAGCAGCGACGAGAGGGATTTGGTTGATGCGGCCATGGTCGATTCGCGCTTTATCCTTGGTCCATCGGGCAGCGGCACAGATGTTGAGGCGACAGCGGTGGGCGCTGGTGTGCTCGCGGGGAACACGCGGGCATCTGAGGTGGCATGGCGCAAGCTCGCCTAAGACCCGACCCTGGGAAGTTCCACTGCCTTGGAATCATAGGGCTGTGCTCAACGGCCATGTCAACCAACATCGGCTCGTCCCATGCTTGGAGCTAGTCCGATGGCTCGGACTATTGTGCAAGAGTGTCAAGTTATCTCAATTGGTACTTGTAATCTAAATAAACGCTTTCCGTGCTTCGAACCGTGAACATAGCCCAGTGTATGCGAGAACGCCGTTGCAAAGACACGCCATCCGACAATGCTTTCAGAGACCAACAACCTGGACAAACAAACGCCATCGCTATGTGATCAATCAGTTTACATCCTCGAATTCATCCTCTTCGCTTTCATCGCCACCGTTGGATGCGGCGGGGGTTGCAGCTGCTGGTGTTGCAGCGGCCGAGGGAGTTGGAGCGGCGGACGATTCCAGCTTGACGCGCTTTGCATCCGGTAGAGCGCTGGGCGTGCCCACATCGACATCTTCAAACTCATCCTCATCGTCGTCCTCGTCGTCCTCGTCCTCGTCCTCCTGCTCCTTCCTGCGGCGTTCGGCTTCGATCTGGGCGAAGACCGCATCAAGGTTCTGATTAGTGCCCATTGTGTCCCCTGCCTCCGTCTTGATACTGGGATTGTCGATTCCGTCTGCCTCTTGCTTCACAGTCGTCGTGTTCCCTGCCGCATCTTTTATGACAGTTGATTTCGTATGCCAAGTAGGAAGCTGGTTCTGCATGGATATCTTTTCCTGACGAGCCCGGTCTGCCGCTCGCTGCTTCTCGTTTTGCTCTGCACTCGAGCCGATCTGCACATTGATCTTCTCTGGGCCTGTGTCAATACCCTTGACGGCGGTTGGGCGTGAAACCGTCGTCTCAATAACCTCAACCTGCGTACCAGGGTCGACATTCCTATCTCGAGGGAGCTCGATCCTTTCGCTAATGATGTCCGGCGGTTCCAACGCCGGAAGGTTGCCCATGTCCTGAATCTTTGACATCATCTCGATCAGCGGGCCAAACAGCTTATTGAACTTGGCCGGGGTATCGTCGACGTCGTCTGCTTGAATGTCTTGGTCGATCTCGTCTAATCGAAATCCACATCTGGCGCAAATGAAGCCGCTGTCGTCTGGCCCAGGGTTCGTATCGGGGTGATCAAGCGCTTGCATGGTCGTGTACGTGGATTTACATCTCAGACATTTGAACTCGGGTTTCTCGGTGGTGGGTTTCGCGTCCCTCTTGATGCCTTCGTCAATCTTGTGAATCTTGTACTTGACCGAGTCGACGGCGCGGCGCCAGTCGATGTAGAAGAACTCTCTGCTTGATGCCTTATTTGCACCTTGGCGCAGGACATGCTGAGTATAGGATGAACACAGCCCTGCCTCCCGAAGCTTACCCGCAACCTTGCTGACATGTTTCGAATTCTTGCCTGCGTCGAGGATGATGGTCATGTCGGCCACAGGCAGTGCGCCGTGATAGCAGAGCGCGTCCATGATGACGATGTGCTCAGTCTCGTAGAACATCCGGACGACTGTCCTGAGCAACTGCTTCACGGCTTGTACGGGATCCCCTCCGCTCTTCTCCACGGGGTCTTTCATTGCTGCGCCCATGATTGCGGTGGTGCAGGCACAGGTTCGGCTTCAGCTTGAATGATGGCCGAAAAGATGCGTGGGGGTGGGACGGCTTTATTCCAATGCGCCAGCCCAAGTTGCAGACGGGGCACTCGGTTCGGAACGGTCTTATGCGGATCGGGAAAGGCGCATCGTTCTCTAGCCTGTGCGATGTATGTCCGCCGGGGGGCTGACGAGACAGTGGGCGGTTGTGTCGAAGGGAAAGTGAGATCTTGCAAGAGTCCAGGCAGGCGCGACTGAACTACGCATCCAGCAGTAAGCGGTGACGCAGGCGGTGAGGCGTACCTGCCGCGCCAAGCCTTCAGCTCCGAAGAAAATGGGCTCAGGGACCCCACAGTGTGCCTCTACCTGCAGCTACAGCTACTTCTGTAAACCCACCACCTCATGACCCGCAGCTTCCTCTGCCGGACAAAGCTGCTCACTCGTCTTCAGCGACCATGTCGGACAACGAAGGACCCCGCCGCGACCATGATTCGTCGAACCGCGACCAACGCGACAAGAAGCGCAAATGGGCCGACAAAGATCGCAGAAATGCTTCGCGGGGAGGTGGTGGACGGCACCAGCATGGAAGCCGTCCGAATAAGAAAAGAAATATGGGGCGTAAGGAACATCAGTGAGCCATTGCCCATCTGCTCTGCGCCCGTCTCTAACTAAGCAAGCTCTACCCAACTAGACCGACGGGACCGCAATGCCGAACAACAAGCCAAGTATAAGGAGCAAGAGGAAAAGGGCGAGGACCGGCCCGCCCTACCTGCGGCATTCCCTGCAGAGGAAGTCGAAGCAGAAGAGCGCAGGCCGAAGCGCAAAGTTGCAGTTATGATCGGCTACTCAGGTACCGGCTACAAGGGCATGCAAATTGACTACAAGCAAAAGACGATTGAAGGAGACCTCTTCAATGCTTTTGTCGCCGCTGGCGCCATATCCAAGGCAAACGCATCCGATCCCAAGAAATCGTCCCTCGTTCGTTGCGCGCGTACCGACAAGGGTGTCCATGCAGCAGGCAACATTGTGTCGTTGAAGTTGATCATAGAAGAAGACGATATCGTGGACAAGATCAACAGCCATCTCCCTGAGCAGATCAGGGTGTGGGGCATCCAGCGAACCATTGGCTCCTTCAGCTGTTACCAGGCGTGCGACTCGCGATGGTACGAATACCTGATCCCGACCCACTCGTTTCTCCCGCCGCATCCTTCAAGCTACCTAGGGAAAAAATTGGAGGAGTTTGCGGAGACGGAGAATGATGTGAAGGGATATCGCGAGCGACAGGCTGAGGTAGCCGACTTTTGGCCCGAGACGGAAGAGAAGCATATCAAGCCCATTCTGGACTCGCTAGACGATTCGATACGATCGCTCGTACAAGAAGCGCTTTACAACGTTGAAGCGATCGATGCACCGCCTGGACAAGATCGTATAGTCGATGCATCGATTGGTCATCAGACCAAGCAAGAGAAGTCTACGGACGTCGAAGTGGTGGAAACTGCAAAGCCAGATGGAGGTGAGCTCGACACAAGTGGAAACCCGCCAGACGAGGTCAAGCAAATGATCGACACGATACAACAAAATGAACCCAGCATCACTCTCGACAGCTCCACCGACGGTTCTCGTCCCCTCCCTGAAGGCGTAGTCAACCAGCCGGTCCTCGAAGAAGCCATCAAGACTCTGAAGAAGGCATACCTGGACGTCAAGAAAGCATACCGCATATCCCCCGAACGACAAGCGCGTGTGCAAGCCGCACTTGACAGGTACCTTGGAACCCACCGCTACCACAACTACACCGTGCACAAGAAGTACAACGACAAGTCCGCCCAGCGCTACATCAAGAGCTTCAAAGTCGCACCCAAGCCCATCATTATCAACGATACAGAATGGTTGAGCCTCAAGGTGCACGGCCAGAGCTTCATGATGCACCAGATCCGCAAAATGGTTGGTATGGCCGCCCTGACAGTACGGTGCGGCACCGATCCTGAAATTATGGAAAAGAGTTTCGGTAACGAAGTTGTCCGGATACCCAAGGCCCCCGGCCTGGGCTTATTACTCGAGAGACCGGTGTTCGACTCGTACAACGCAAAGTCTGCTAAGCAACACGGACGCGAGACGATTGACTTTGACAAGTACAACGACAAGATTGAAGAGTTCAAGGAGAAGGAGATTTACCAACGTATCTTCCGCGAAGAGGCAGAAGGCAACCAGTGAGTTCTTTTCTGGATTCCAGGACACCGGACATGAACGCTAACAAGCTCTAGATTCAACACCTTCTTCACGCACCTGGATAATTACAAGGACCCACAGTTCCTTTACCTGACCTCTGGTGGTATCGAAGCTACGAAGAGGAAGCGCGAAGATAAATCCACGCAACAAAAATATGAGGAGGATTCGGAGGATGAGAACGCGAGCGGTGGAGAGGGTTGAGCTACAGCGTGATTGCTAGAAGGCTTTGACGCCCCATGGACATGGGCAATCTTGGGAGTCGCTTTCGACCCACTTCTTATGCAAAATATGAGCGCCATGAAGAATGTCTTCAATGACATCATGAGAAGAACACAAAATCTCACACATGCAGAGATTCCATACCCGTAGCACAAGTCTGTGAAGATTACTGTATCGTATCCGTGCAATTCAGTCTGAACATGATTGGTGGGACGACTAGAGCGAAGCATGACACCGGAACGCCTCGCTTGATCAACACAGATCCTTCGATTAGAAGGCCTCATAAACCCTTGCCGTCGAGATACTCCTGCACCCTCTCCAAAAGCTCAGCCTTTTTACCCCCAATACTCTGACCCCTCGCGCCAAGCCACTGCTTCAGTACGGCTACCGTTTGCTTGCTAATCTTTCCACTATTATTTAGGTCGGCCATTTGCTGATCAGTCATTGCTTCTTCCTCGTCTCCACTCTCGGCTTTGACTTTTGACTCATTTTTAACCCTTTTGGGCGCTGGCTTGTCGTCACTCCCTGCGCCGCCGCCAGGGCGTTTCTTTGCTGTGGGTTTAGCGCGGTGGGCAAGTGCGGATTTGTGTTGCTGTTCGTATGCTGCTTGAAATTCTCTGCCGTAGTCTTCAATGTACTCGCCGCAACGTTTGTCGATTTGTTTGTAGCGAGGAGTTGTTTTGTCATTGGGCTGGAGCGGAAGTTCTTCTTCAAGAGCTAGCGCTTGTAAGATGCGGTAGAACCATTGCAGGTCTGGATTGGGATACTTGGAGGGGTCGTAGACACCTTTAGGCAGTTGCAATTGCTCAATGATGAGGCGCATCTTGTCTGTCAGCGCATCCGTGGTTTTGAGGGGCTGCTCCGGTGGCGTTGGGAACTGGCGGATGTCGTCCGCGAAAGGCAGAGGTATGAGCCAAAGGCCCGGTGGTGTCAGCTGGTCGCCTTCCTCATTGAGCCTCTCTTCACCAGGTATAAGGGCGGCGAGTGTAGGTGCAGCGTTGCGACGTGGAACGAACCATACCAAGCCCATCTTTTGAGACTTGAGTAGCTTCTGCTGTAAAGCCGAGAAGACACGAGTGGAGCCAATGTAGTCTGCGTCGGAAGGGTAGATGAATGTTGATTTGTTCGTGTTGGCCCATATTGGGACGCTGGAGAGAGGCTTGAAGCCAATAATTCGGATCACAGGCTCCCCAAAACATTGCCTTATCTGTGTAATCTCTTCGGGTGTAAAAGTGATTGCATCGCCGCCAAACTTGTACGCCTTGCGCATCTCCGTTTTCTCGATGGCCCGCGCCGAGTCGCCTGCCAGTTGTTGTGTTGACGAAGTCGCTATCTGTGGCTTTTCACCTCCAACCCAAACGTAGCACGACTTGACATGTTCCTGGCGCTTGATGAGAATATATCCTTTCACCCCGATGCGAAGATCAGGAGCGAGTTCCATGGGTAGCGAGAACAGAGCGCGACGGGGTGTGGCTTTGGAGTTAATGGAGGATATGAGCTGCTTGAGGAGCGATATGCCTTCGCCGCTCTTCGCAACTCTGGTGGTTGACGGTATAGTAACGGGAGCCTCAGGATCGGATGGTGATGTGGGATATACAAGATCATCGAAGAAGCGCGATCTGTCAAAAGTATGATCTGGCTGTGAGATGGGAAACAGGTCAATGGTGCAGCCGAGATCATACAAATCACGTGCTCGGGTGACTGCCGTGTCCTTTTCTGCCTTGATCTTGATCGGATAGTCATTGTCCGTCACTACGAACAGGCGTCTTGACGAGAAGTTGGGCGCCTTTGTAGTGAAGATCTGGTTTGCGCAGAACAGTACCGTTGCTATGCTGGCACCGTTCCTGGCAGGCTTCAATATCTCTTCGGCCTCTTCTTCGTTCTCGACCATATCTCTGAGCCTCTTGACGTCCTGAGCGGATGGTATGTCAAGGTCTGCAAGGAGGTAGCAGTTTTGAAACGTGTTGTCACCGTCTTTCAAGTCCGTCTTTTCGGTGCCGAAAAGCAGTATGCCCATCATGTCGTTTGGGTTCGAGATGATGCGCTGCTGCATCAATTGGTAGGCGCATTTTAACGCAGCGGACGTGGGAGAGTCACGCTCGGCTTTCTTGTCTTCTGACTTGGGCGGTCGCTCAAGCATGGTAGGACTGACGTCGATTGCGAAGAGAACGGCGTCCTTGATAGTCTTGTAGCTCTACATGCTGTCAGTGACACTTGTCATTTCCAAAGCTGGAACTGGAGCGTACAGAGTCGTCAATCTCCTCCTCTTCGTCTTCTTCTTCGCCTGGTCGATTGTCCTGTGGAGCCGCCATGATGCCAGTCGCGTTCTGCTCGAATGAGATTTACTTGCTGTAGTGTCGAGTTGAAGCTCAGCTGGGCGACGGCATTTGTAGCATCGACGGCCGCAGCAGGCTGTCAAGCACAAGCCTGTGCAACGCGGGACAGTGGCCTAGGCAGCAGAGCGGAACGCGCGCACTAGCTCCAACACGTCGACACGTGCCTGCGAGGCTGCTGTGGGGCGAACCCTGGCGTCCGATCGCCAGCCACGATCGTCATCAACGGCCAACAAGACTGCTGCCATTGGCCAGAGCTTTCTCCAACTGGCTCTTCCGAGCATTATTCACGTTGTTGTTCTGGCCTCGGCATCTTCTCCTCGAAACATCACTGCGAGAAGACGCCCTCTTTCTCGTCAAAACCCTCACAATGGCTCTCCGCGTATCCTGTTCCCGCGCTGCAAAGCGTGCGACGTCCACCACACCCGCCACATCTCTCATATCGTCGTACAGTGCACAATGGAGGAGAGGCAACGCGACAGTCGCCCCTACACAGATGACGCCCGGCTCAAAGGGGCCGACTGCTATGGTCTTCATGAACATGGGCGGGCCGTCAACAACGGATGAAGTACATGGCTTCCTGAGCATGTTGTTTGTATGTAATCGGTCGAAGCGCATCATCGATTGCCAGCTTACGGAGTCTAGGCCGACAAGGACTTGATTCCCCTCGGACCCCTCCAAAACTACATTGGCCCCTACATTGCGCGGAGACGAACACCAAAAATCCAAAAGCAGTATGCAGAGATTGGTGGCGGGTCGCCCATCAGAAAATGGTCGGAATATCAAGCCGCAGAGATGTGCAAGATCCTCGACAAGACCTCACCTGAGACTGCTCCCCACAAGCCCTACGTCGCATTCCGCTACGCAAATCCTCTCACCGAAGATACCTACAAGCAGTTGTTAGCAGACGGCTTTGGAGGAGGGAAGGGCGGCCGTGCCGTAGCCTTCACACAGTACCCCCAGTACTCCTGCTCGACCACCGGCTCCTCTCTTAACGAACTCTGGAAATGGAGGACAAGACTGGAGGGCAAGCGTGCAAACGGCGAGACTGGTCAAGAGGTAGAGCCCGAAGGTGCCATAAAGTGGAGTGTTATTGATCGCTGGCCGGCACACCCAGGTTTAGTTGAAGCCTTTGCCCAACTCATCGAGAAGAAGCTGGCCGAGTACCCCGTCGAGCGACGCGACGGCGTTGTCATCCTCTTCTCCGCACACAGTCTCCCCATGACTGTTGTCAACCGCGGCGACCCTTACCCGTCTGAGGTTGCAGCGACCGTATATGCTGTCATGCAACGCCTCGCAATGAAGTACAGATACCGTCTCGTATGGCAGTCGCAGGTCGGCCCTCAACCTTGGCTCGGCGCGCAAACATCCGACACTGTCAAGGAGTACATGAAGAAGGGCCACACAGACATGCTCCTCGTACCCATCGCCTTCACCAGCGACCATATTGAGACACTATACGAACTTGATAAGGAGGTTATTGGCGAGGATGCGGAAGGCCACGAGGGTGTCAAGCGTGTCGACAGCTTGAACGACAGTCCCGTCTTCATCGAAGCGCTCGCGGACATCGCCAAGGCACATTTGCAGAGCGGGCAGGCCTGCAGCCCACAGATGATTCTCAGGTGTCCAAAGTGCACGAGCGAGAGGTGCTTGGCACAAAAGGAGTTCTTCGCTGGTCAGACACAACATATTGACCCTCCCACAGCATAGACCGACTCTTGATTGTTGGAACTGGGTACTTATAGATATATAGCGAACGAAGATGTACTATTACTCCCGCTCTACCAGATATCATGTAGACTGCATGTTCAACACATGAGGTGTCGTTCTCGTCAGCACTCCATTCTCTGCGGGGATCCGGCGCACAGAGGCGCTAGTACCATCTTTGGACAAAAGCGAATTATTCAACTTTTTTGGAAACTCATATCTCGAACTCAACGGCACTCCACGTGCAACACATAGAGCAAGACTGAGTTGGATTCTAAGAAATGTTATTCAATGCAAGACCGCGCTCCCTAGCTGTTACACGCATGTAGAAGCCTCTAAATCCTAGAATTACAGATCCCTCTCATCACCTAACCGTGTCTCCAGTCATGACCCCGTGAAAAGCCGAAGAGCTTCATGCTGTCCTGGCAACAGGCTTCTTCTCACCACCCATGTCGTGCTCAGTGTAGTAGAAGTTCTCTTCTGGGATACGTCCCCTCAAGAACTCGGGCTCGGAACCACGGACGTAGATGTCCTCGTATAGTACCTTGCCAGTAGCCTCGGGGACCGCCATCTTCTCCGCAATGGCAACCTCTTCGTCAACCTCAGAACGTGCTTGCTTGTCAATCGACTTGAGCTCCTCCTCAGAAGTGACGCCCCAGTCGAGGAGCTTCTGCTTGAGGCCGGCAATGGGGTCATTGGTGCTGCGCATGCGCTGAATCTCCTCACGGGTCTTTCATTGTTCGTCAGTACATGCTTTGTAATGTTGCATTGCGGTTTGACTTACTCGGTATGTGGTTCCGGGGTCAGACATGGAATGTCCTCCGTAACGGTAGGTGACGTATTCGTAGACAAGGGGACCCTTGCCGGCGGCGGCATATTCCTTTCCGTACTTGACAGCGGCCTTGACGGCGAGGACATCCATACCATTGATCTTCAGACCAGGAATGTACTGTCCACGCTTGTAGTAGTCGGTGAGGGCAGATGAGCGGTTGGCGGCGGTTCCCATGCCGTACTTGTTATCTGCAGGGTGTCAGTAGATCTGGCGCATGTCCATGTGGTGTCTGTACGCACTCTCGCAACCAAAAATGATGGGTAAGTTCCAGAGCTTGGCCATGTTGAACGCCTCAAAGACCTGACCCTGGTTGGAAGCACCGTCTCCGTACAGAGCAAGGGTGACGTTCTTCTTGTTCTCGTACTGGCAGGCAAAGGCAATACCAGCACCGACGGGGACCTGGGCACCGACAATACCGTTACCACCGTAGAAGCCGGGGGCAAACATGTGCATAGAGCCACCCTTTCCGTACGCGATACCCTCCCTCCTGCCGAGGAGTTCACCGATAATGGACTTGACAGATGCGCCGCGCATCAGAGCGAAGCCGTGGCAGCGGTAGGCGGTGATGAGATGGTCGGCGCGCTCGATGGCGTGTTCGATACCGACGGCGACGGCTTCTTGGCCGGTGGACAGATGGCAGAAACCCCGAATCTTCTTCTCCTTGTAGAGCCTGTCGGCGGCCATTTCCATGCGTCTGTTGCATGTTAGACGCTGATCGTGTTCGAATCCCGCGATGGTGGGTTTTCCTACCGTACGGCGACCATGTCGTAGTACATCTTTTTGAGCTCCTTCTTGGTGACCTCCATTGTGTATGGCGGCGGGTCGAGCTCGTAGGTCTCAAAGGCCTCGTCGGAGAGGCGGATCTCGAACGGCTTGTCGTCCTCCTACAGACAGTCAACGGTCCATCGCTTGTTCCACAGCCACACCACTGGCTTTCTGGGCGTCCTCTTACCGATGGCACATTGGCCGGGTCCGTGTGCGATGAGGCCGCATCCGTCGTCACGAACCTGAAGGCGGGTCGCGCAGCTGGGGCCACGGCATTGCGCCGGAAGGGCGACGCAATGCTCCGCCTGATTGTCCTGGACAGCATTGTGAGGTGTGGGGGGAAGCAGCCGAGGGAGAGGCGTGGGTATGCCGTGAGGTTCAGAGGGTGTTGATTCGAAAAGTTGCTCAGCTCCCGCCAGCTCGGGGATCCGCTTTGACGCTAAGCGATTACCGTCCGCCAACGCCAATCTCAGCACATCCCGATCCCCTCCGACTCAACACCTCTCAACGCATCGCAACTTCCGCCACTCGCTGCACCCGAGCATACAACTAAACCGTGTAGCTATCCTCATACAGTATACTTGGTCGCTAAGCGCCAAAACACCCAAGTTTGTAAGAGCGCGTTACAACCTGCAAACTTCCTGGCGCTTGATGATACCTAGGAAGCGCGCGATTGTCTCGAGACATGTACAGAACCAATGAGGGGCTTCGTTTTCGATTGTGATGCCCTCTCCTTAGACTTCAGCTCATCCGCCGCTCATAACAGCATGCGCGCAATGCAGCCCACTCAGACAAGAGGTGCATACGCGCTGTCGAAAAGAAATATATAGACCTAGTCGACGTTGCTGTAGTCTCAAATATTCCAAAATTTCGTTCATCGGCATCATCTACGTCGTTGAAGAAGAGCTTATACCAGCGTGCATGTAAAAGCCATGATAGCCCCAAGTCTACGAAAAGCAACATGTACTTCCTGCCTTACTTCTTTCAAACACGAGCCACTTGACTACAGGAGGGGCGCAATCAGGCTACTCCGAATTCTCCCACACCTTTCGGCTGATTGTCTCATACAGTGTGAGATCTGGCATGACAGTGTCAAGGCGAGCTACACCTGCCTCTCATACGTCTGGGGATCAGAGAAGATACAACGGCAGATCCTCGTCAATGGCAAACTTCTCCTTGTTCGAGAGAATCTCTACGATTTCATCGGCGTCGCTCGATCGAAATACGCAAACCCAGCACGCACCTTTTGGATCGACGCTCTTTGTATCGACCAAGATTCAATTCACGAAAAGAACCACCAAGTCGCTCAGATGGGCTCCATTTACGCAAACTCCCTCGAAGTAATCTCTTGGCTCGGATTCAATCAGAGTATCGGCCGCGCGTTCGCATTTGCCTTGGATTTGAGTAAGGAACCCCGATACGAGATATGGGACTCTAGTGACAAACAAGGCGCCAAATGGTTCGAACGCAACAAACAGACCAACGGCCAGCTCAAGAGAGACTGGCTCGCGGTCGTCGAAGATCGATACTGGACTCGTGCTTGGATTACACAAGAGATCTTGCTCGCCCAAAATGTCAAATTTCTTGTCAATGATCTTGAAGTCGCTCACATGCAGATTGCTGAGTGTGCTCTCCGATGGCTGGAACATATCAACAATTTACAGGGAAACGCAACAATAGACTCGAAGAAGTGGGACACTAAGACACGCGTCTTCGCCCACTATATGTACTCGATAGGCGGCGGAAGGGGATCACCCAAGGAATCGAGATTGATCAACTACTTCGACAGCCTACCCGGTCGAGAGAGCTATTTCGTCCATGACAGAGTCTACTCGCTCCTTTCGCTTGCTTCGGATGCTTCTAGTATCACCATCGACTATCGCCTTTCCCGGCAGGAACTTCTTCGCCAGGTCATGAGCATCTATAAATCGAATATGTGCATATGTGCATGGTTCTACTTTGCAGATATGCTGGATTGCTACCAGGTTCCCAACCCGGAAAGCAGTAACACTGAATCAGGAAGAAGTCCCGTCTTCAAAATCACATTGAAGCCAGTCCAAACAGATTTTGTTATGGGCGAAAAGTCAAAAGACTGGTATCATGCATGTTCACAATGTTCCGTAAAAATGACTTGTTGCGACAAGGAACAGGATACTACATTTTGTCTAGCATCTCTCTGTTTCAGTGTTGTGGGTGATCACATATACGTGGGCAAAAACGAATGCGGAAAGTACGAAATTAGACGAAGTGGCGATGCGAATGGACACGAGGTATTACTTTTCCAACCAGGGAACCCTGTGTCTTCCGAAGACTGTATCAACCTAGGGTGGGGAAGTCTGCCCCTTCTATACGATGTCTATCTTACAGGCGATGTCGCATTGAAGCTTTTCCTGTATCCAGAGCAAAAAGTTAGGCGGGCGGTGCCATTGCGAATATGTGGATCGGCGAAAGATGGTTATACAAATCTGGAGTTTTGCTAGACTAACATATGCATCTGAAGCGTTGATCGTTGAATCAGAACAGAAGTGTGACGCAAAGTGAACGACGTGTTCGGTATATTGTGAGTTCCACGTATTTCGTGGTTGAACTGTCGTAACCCAGCACGTCTACTTCCTGGTTTCTGGTGCCACTTTTCTTGTTGCATGGCATTTTCACACCGAATAATGAACGTATCATAATAATTAAAATCATAGCAAACTAATGTTCACCAGCCCGCGGTTTTCTCGATTTGGCCACCACTCCTCCTTTATCCTTGCATGGCACGACGCAGCAAAGAGATGTCACCACAAGTATATTGCTGAGGACAGATCCTTTTTAGTGATGATGATGCGGATGGAATATGAGAAGAGTGACGAAGCCGCTCGGCATGATGGAAGGGCGAGTATCGTAGTTGTGTATAAGCAAACGTAATAGAGATGTTGACATGAGCCGCCAGGTGTCATTGGGGACAAACTGAGAATACATGGGAGTCCTTGGTATATGTGATCCAGCGGTGGTACTACACAATTGTCAGATATACAGAGCGTGATGGCACGCATAAAGAACATACCTTTGAGATGGAAAAGCCCAGTCTCAACACTCTTTCCATTCGATTTTTGACCGTACTCGCTAGCTCCAGATATCGCTCTTCCTCATCATGCTCTCTCTCGAACCACGTCTGGGGGAAGTAACCGTCAGCCCAGATTAAGCCTCGCACAAGGTAGTCTTCCGGTAGTGGCAACTCATCAGACCTCTCGTCCTGTCCAGGAAACACATCGGATGCCAGTAAAGCATCGATGTTTGAGATCTGGTTCTGTGACTGACTTTGTATTTGGTTCTCAGTCTTGACCAACGTATTCAGGAAAGCAACGAGTTCGGCCCAAGGAGCGTCTGCAATGAGATCGGAAACGTATTTACCGGAAGCGAAGCTAGAAAGGAAAGCGAGCATGATATGTACGTGAGGAAGCACGTTTTTGTCGCCAATACGGCGAAGAACAAGTGCAAAAGTCTCGTTGGTGATGGATTTGGCGTTGCGGAAAGTCTCACCCGCTTTAAATCCATCGTCGTCTTCCAGTGCCTCCTTGATAGTATCTTCATCGATCGAAGGCTGCGTTGGATTCTGTTGATCAGCTGGAGATGCACTCCGAATCTTGCCTTCGATAGCAATTTGCGGAGAGTCTTGTGCTCTTTGGTAGATCGGAGTCAGGAAGGCCTGGCGAAGAAGGTTGTTGTTTATGCCGTACTCAAACCAGCCAGCAATATTGGTCACGGCGATGTATACACCCTGCTCCTTCCATTTTGCTGTCACACGACCAATGTGGTTGTCCAGATTTCCGATGAATTCGGCCTTTGCGTTCATGAACTCAGTTGTATGCTGATGCTCCTGCGCTTGAGCCCTGTCCACACAAGATTCCTCGAATTGCAGCCCGTGTGCTTTGATGAAGTTGGTGTCGATCGCTAAAGCATGTGTGAGAGGTGCGCCTGCACGACCAAGAATAGGATCCAGCAGAGTCAAGATTGACTCTCGCGCGCTCTGGAATGGTTTGACGCAGGTCAGGGACCTAGAATAGTAGTACATCTGCTGGAGAGCATTTGGTCGTGCCAAGATAGCGAGATGGTGATATAGACGACCCACAGTAGGATTCTTATCAGCAGCCTTGGTGTACCAAGAGCGCGCGACGCCTGCCCAAGTTTCACGGTCCCGGACATCTTCGTCCTCAATCGCCATCCGATATCGGCCAAGGTCTCCCAGGCACTCGATCCATGTGTCCTCGAAAGCTGGAACAGTTTCGTATAAAAGCGCCATCATCTGATACGCCAAATAAATGAATGCCAACATATAATCTATACTGTCAGGAAGACGCCTTCGCAGTAACTCCAAAAAGGAATGGATACCATGCTTCCACATGCGTGCAGGCATCGAGTATTTGGCGGCAAGACGTCGGAGGGCCGGCGATGCAGAGGGATGCTGGCTAGCTAAGAAAAAGTCATGATGCTCATGTAATAGAGTCCGGTGAAGAGCGATCAAAGCCTGCCAATGATCCGACGCAAGTTTGGTATCACCATCTTGGGCAGCTGCGGCTTGTGCGCGATCCACATGTATACACTTGGTCTCCACCATCGTTAATCCTGCGTAAATAGATTTCACTTCCGACGCAAGTTGTTCTTGCGAGATGGGTCGACTATCGGGCTGCAATAGTAAACTGGGGTATCGGGGATCATAGCGTTGAAGTTCGATAAGGCCTGGCTGGCGTTGAGATTGCTGAGGTTTAGGAGTAGTTCGTTGCGGTGTATGAGCACGGGACTGGGTTTGCGGTGATTTTAAGTGACTGCTCTTCGTAGCTTCGGCTGACCACTCGCTGGAGGGCTCGGGTGTTGTCTGGTATGGAGACGAGGTAGACTTGGCGTTTTGTTTAGGGTCGAAAAGGCGTGCATCCTGTGGTCTCGACCGTGCCCTGTCCGAAACAACAGTTTGTGGAATTTGTCTCGAGAACTCCGGATCAGCTACTTCCACGTGAGACGGACCCTTTCCTCTGGGGCTGGTGAAGTCATGTTCTGCCGGTCGTTTCCTTCCAGAGGGCGGTGAGTTCTGCCTGGAAGCCTTTCCAGAATCTATAGTAAGAGCCGCGATATCAGGCGCTGACCGGTCTCCAACAGTTGCAGCTGCCGAGTGATCAGATCTGCTAACCATATTAAACGCTGATCTAGCAAATACCTGCACAGCAGCTTGGTCTGTACTCACTTGAACTTCAGGCTTAGCTCTCGAAACTTCTCTCTTGCCTGTCGCGGAGACAAGCCTTCGAACTCGTCGCGATGGTCTATCTTGCCGTGATCATACAGCTGGTCGGCACTCGGAAAGACGCGTCCCTCATGACCGGGGTAAGGGCACGCGTGGGCCCTGATGATTGGACTCTGAGTTTTCAGCGCCTGCGCGAATTTTGTCTGAACGAATTCACCGGTGTCCATAATGCGGCTGAATGTCTCAGGTGTAGGATTCGCGTTCGTATTCCGATCTCCGTATTTGGCGTGTGCCTGATTGCTGCGGGCGATGTGATCTGATTGGATGAAGTTTTGAAGCGCACATACCCACTCGTGTGCGCACACCCAGCCTCAGCGTGGACTGTATCCTGATGACCTGGACTACGCGGTCTCCAAAAAGATCTGGAAAGCTTTACACTGTCGCATACGCGTCCGATGCTCTGCGATCAAGCTCGAGGGGTCGGACTGCGTACGTTGACGAGGTAGTGCGAAGCCTCCGGTTTAGCTAGATGCGATGTCCAGGACGACAGGGACAGCAACCTCGCGTACAATAGAACGCAGAAATAGAAGAAAGGAGCTGTTTGACGTGTAATCTCTAAATCGAAGGCTGAGAACGCATCTTGGGAGTGTCCCCCAAGGTGGACATTAACACAATATAAGATGCGGCTCTGCTGTGGTTCGCCTACTAGGCAACAAGGCAAAAGAAGGCAAACGTCCCTGGGCACCGGATATGATTTCCTGCACGCCACCGTTATACCTGCGTCAAAGGGCGTCAACTTCGCTATCAACACGTCGCCTACTCGTAAGAAACCTCCCTCTCGATTTGGTGGGCAGTCGTTGCCTACTTATGCTTGTTACGTTTGCGGCTCTGCTGCTTGCTTCGCCATTACCATTATGGGGGCCACTCGAGCCCCACATCCTCGTCTGCTCCATCGAGGTTAGCGTTCGGCATTGAAAAAGCAATGCCCGAACGGTGAGCTACATGTTCCTGTGTATCTGCGTACATGTACCGTGTAGTCCTCCATCTCGTGAAAGGCAACACCTACAAGGCTCATAGAGACCATACAGGCGGCTGAAGCCCATGCGTTGTTCGGATGGCTTCATTCCTCTGTGCGAATCCAGCTTGCTTGTTTCAGCTCATCCTCGAGAGTCCCGCTAGCCACAACGCAGCCGCGAAGTCAATACTAACGCGGCGGCGACATCCTCGCCCCTTCAAAGTTTGACGCCAATTTTCCCTGCGAAAGACCTTGTGACAGTAGTCGTAAGCCGAAACCAGATAACATACACCAAGACTGATTTGCTCAGATTTTACGCAGCGGAATGGAATTTCCGTGGCCCACGTCCTTGGTCCTACCAAAATGCAGGGTGTTGCCTTGTACTTCGCAGATCTGCCGACGAACGGGGAGTGCCATCTGTTTGCCTGCGCAAGGTGTCACATGTACGCCACGTATGTTGAGTCAGTACCAATTTCCGACAGTCCGCTTGGACGACGACTCGATGATCGTGGGCGCTGCAAACGCTTGCACGGGACGATATTACTTTCACAACCGGATGAGTGGCCATAATGTGCCGAGTCCCCGATAACCTCCGTGGTATCAGCTTAGACACCAATGAACGGTAACCAAGCTTTCGGTATTGGCACGAAGACACACGGCGCCCATTGCGCCCTCTCACGAAACATGAGGCAAGCGCTTGGTGAAGGCTGCTAAGGCACATCCTAGCCTCCATATTTCGAAGCCCAGTGCGCCTCAATGCATGCCCTTTTGTTCGAAGGATACAATGCCATTACGTTCTTTTCGTCACCTGTATGCACCAGGGCCCAAACAAATCAAGACATGCGATTGGTCAAGTAACCAAATCATATTACCACCGAAAACGATATCTTTGCCTTGGGTCTTGGACAGCTGGGTTGGCAGAACAACAAGTCCTTCCAGGTCCGGTCAGACATCACCCAGGGAGCAATCCAATTGTAGACGCGACCTGTACAGCGACCATTGTTGAAGTCGTTCCATAGTATCAAGAAACACTGCGCACAGGAGTCTCAACCAGTCAAGTGCACTACCAATGTGCTACGAGCTGTTGATCTGGGTGTATGTAATCGGGCAAATCGTGACGGTGACCTGGATTACGCATGTCCTCTCTCCATGCGCATGTTTGCTGACCGTAAGATAGAGCACGAACCACTGAACCAGCATGGTCATCAGCTCGCAACGGAATACTCATTACGGTTAGGAACTTATGATCACAAGCCATCATCACCAAGTCAGCGCCGGCATTGCAGCTGGCTGTCGTAAACTAAGCAGTATGAACTACGCGAGACTGGGCTTACTTGCTCCTGCGCTGAGACATCTTAGTATGGCTACACTGTCGTCTGAAAGTAGCCGTTGCCGAAAGCATGGCGTTTTCTCTGGACTAAAGTCATGTCGTCTATCGACACGCGGAGCGACTCTAAAGGACATGCTCAGCATAGTGTGTTACCTGTTGAGGATCCGGTGATTGTGGGGCATAAGACTATCCTCAAATGAAGACCGAATAGGCAGCTCGATGGCCGCTCAATCTGCACATGATCAACATACGAGAGAAAATCCCATATGTACAATCAGTCGAAGATCATGCTGTTACACACAGTTCGTTGCCTAACAGGCACCATGCTTTTTGAGCTTCGTCTCAAAGAGTGTATAGACGCATTCGTCATAGCTCACAAAGGGAGCGGTACGGTTTGATGAGGGGACACTGCACGAGCAGGCCGATCAAAGGGATGTTTCGTCGTTTTGGGCGTTCAAGTATGCGACCTTATCATCCCAGACTACTGGAACCTTTTCTCGCGCACGTAACACAGGGTCTAGCAACTACATATGATGGAATTTGACGCGTTTGTACGTTACGTTTGTACCATCTCTGGACGTACTGATCGACGGTCAACTGATTGAACAGCTAATATAGCTGGAGTCAACAGGAGAAGTCACAGCGACGGCCGTTCCGACATAGCAGAGGCGTGTTCTATGATAGTGATGGAGCGGCTAGATCGCTCCCAGCGTATGGCAACGGTCATACAAAGCCCAGAGGACTGGAACATCCTTGAACATGGTACGAAAGGCGGGGTAATCTGCCTGCTGCAGGCCCGCGGCCCAATCTTCATAAACAGACTGCTTACGTCTTTGTGTACTGGAGCCTGCAAAGTAGCGGCCTATATCACGACACAAATCTGGAGCCACTGAGGTCTCTTGACGATTGAAAGGCTAGTTCCGGCGATGTTGAGACGCTACTTAGGTAAGTTCCTGCATGCCTGACGAAGAATGCAGGTAACTCGGGTGCACCACTAAAGGCCGTCGACTGCGATGCGTGAGATGACGAAATGAGCAGTCCAAGTGTATCAAGTGTCTATCGAGGACCAATGAAAAGTTTCTGTAAGGGCGACTGAAACAAGGCTGACCCAGAAATGAGTCGAAAACCCGAAGAGGGATAAATCAGGGCCACGTTCTCACACTTGTGTATCCCTCAGGCAACAGCCCTTGCGAAGCCGTTTCTCATAGCGCAACCCGGGAAGATCAATCCACTTCAATTTCCTATTCGAATTGAATACCTAAGAGTACTGTGAAGACCTGTCAAAGACAGCATACAGTTTAGAAATCGATGTCCACCGATTACGAGTGCGACTCGATTACCCTAAAGACAATAGCCCCACCCCGCGATGGAGCCTTGTTTTCACGAGGTCCAGGGGTTGCATATGTCGGTAATCTTGTTGCCCGCTGCAAGACTCTCGATCAATTCGCAATACTTACGGACTGTATTATGTGCTGATATACCTTGCATTCTGTGCCCCGCGTGTCAGCCCTCAGAGCCAGTGAAGAACAAAGTGTAGATACCCTACCATTATCTGCTACTACCGGCTTGTAGCGCAAAACCTTCGTCGACTTCGCCCGATGCTCATCCGCGAGGTGCAGTATGCAGAATTCTATGATGCAAGAAGCAGGTAATCGAAGGATGGTACAGTCACAAGGTAAGCCTGGTTTGATCACAAAGGTAGCGCAACCTCGCACGACTTCAGGTTCTGACTTCTAGACGGATAGAATGGTGTATCGCTGATCAGCGAACCAGAGGCGCAAAGGAGTGAACCGCTTGGCATCGACTTTGAGGCAACAAAGTGTATAGAGATGTTGTCAAGGCTTTGTCGCAGTCCCTCTGGTTTGTAGAGGCTCTCAGGATACAGTCTAACGACGGAGCCCATGATGGTGCACACCTGGGTAGTCCACAGCTGCAAGATTACCTGAATTTCCAACCTTGGAAGGTCGTTTTTGACTGTTTTACCAGAAAATACCTATAGACTGGATTTCCACGAGAAGGCGACGTCGTAGCGATCGCGAAACCAGAGGACTTCGATACAAGTTGTAAGCACTAGTGTTGGGGGCTGGAACGAGTGGCGTATACATGGCAAGGCTGAAGGACTTCGGTGTCTGCAAAGTGCACACCTACCTAGGTAGCCAAGCCATAACCTCAACTCAAAACTCGCCTCACCATGCAGAAGCGGTGGTTCGCATTAAGGCAAACCATGTCTTCATCACATACGTCCCGAGGTCGCTTCGTAATAAGACGCTCATCCCGCATGAACTATCGATAACCTTCACGTCGTCATCCAAGATGGACATCAGCTGCGGAGATGTTTCACCTGCTGAGTTTGACCGGGATGAAGAAAGTCAGTGTTGCCTTCGGTCACGCACAGTCTTCCGAGCAAACCCCCAAACGCGGAAAGAAGCATATCAAAGGCGGCACGAGCATGGCTACAGACGGCTGATGAACATGTCAGGCCCACTATTTGCCGGAAAGATCACCGGCTAGTTGCAGGCAACAATACTCAAGTGACATCTGACTGATGCTTACCGGGCTGGAGGCTGAGATCAGACTGGTATGCAGTGTTAAAGATGAGGAATAACGACGGGCGATCCTACAGTCCTTCTTCCGACACCTCCTTGCACAAAAAGGGACTTATCCTGGTAGTGTTCACCGGAAGGTACTTAGGTACCTGAGAAAGGGGCCGAAATAAGGCCTGAGTTCAGACACTTTGACGCGAAACTGAAGTCAAGTCCTCTCAGACGACCTTGAGGTCAGCCATGAATCACCAAATTTCGTCTCTGGCCTCTTGTCGCTTGGAACGTTCATTGCAATTGGAGTCTCATGGGTTCTTGGCAGAAAGCAGAGTGCAGATCGTCCAAGAATTTCATTAGCCCCGAGCCAAGATTTATCAGTGAACTAGGAGACGCATATAAGAGAAATGCTTGGCCTTCATCAACGTCGGATGCATGCCACAGCGATTGCGTTGTTCTTCTGCACTATCTGCGATAACTTGGCAGATTTCCATCGTCGCCATATCGAGATGCGATACTGCTTTGATCTCACTGAGCGTTATCGATACCACGTTACTGTAGCAAGCTCTTAGGAGCTGACGACGAAGAGCTTGTGGCTGTGCTGGCGGCGCATCGTATTTACGAGAAACAATCTTGGGGCAATGGCATTCCCGACAGCTGACTGGACCTGAGTTTTGGTAGCATAATCTCGAAATCTAGCTCGGGCATCTGCTAGAAGACATGAACGAGTTGTATTAGAACAAGCGTATTAGCGCAGAACCTGAGAACCCCATCATATGGAATGACATGGGTTCGTGGAGAGTCCCACAGCGCAGCAATGCCGCGGAGACGGTGGTGCGGTTCCAATGACATCATAGGCGTGCGACAAATGGACCCCAGGAGGCGAACTTTTGAGGTTGGGCTTGGAAACTCCACGGAAGAGACCTTTGGACGATACATAGGCGTCTGCACATAGCGCATGTACACCATCGTGACACTCGGAGCTTGTGCCCAGGTGTGAGACGACATCGCGGCCATAGAGGTATCCGGCGAGGCGCCAAAGTACTTCCCCGCCGGTCTGCAGGGTTCTCCGTGGGCGATGCGACAAGCCTGGAGGGCACCATCGACAACCACAAAAGCCATCGCAAGCCATGTCATTATCAGAACTTACTGAGCAGCAACGAGCGACTATCGGCGATCGCGCGCGAGTATGGGAAGTCCGACGCTTCTGCCAGGTGCTGCCATCTGTCGTTAAATACGTGCGTGGTTCGGATGCTGGCCTTACGAGCAGGCCGTTGGAGCCACACGGCAGATATGTCAAGAATGAACCAGACGGCGCGCTTGCTGCTTTGCTCCGTTGCGTCATCCATCAGACGGGCGCTGATCTGGCGATGGTCAGCTTGCTAGACGATCATACGCAATACTTCATCTCGGGGGCCAGTCGGGCCAACGTAGATGAAGTCAAGGTCACCTTGGGTGAGTGGAATCAATAGTATGGTGGACATACTCTAGCAGTGTCTAACTGGCACAGAAGACTCAACGCGATGGTACGGATGCGAGTCGGTAACTCATCACGGTGGTCTGTGCGAGCGTACCATTACGCGGCAGAATGAGCCAGGCGGGAACATGGCACTTTACGAAGAGCTTGATATGGCTGAATTGGAGAGAACCAAATACCTTCCATTTGTTCAGGGTGATATTGCCAAGTTCAGACATTATGCTGGTGTTCCTTTGAACCCCTATGGAGGACCAAACATTGGCACTGTCTTCACATTCAGCTCAACGCCGTCGCAGAGTGGACTTTCGGACGCCCATCGCTCATACCTGTTTGAGACAGCGTCCCACATTATCCGACATCTGGAACAAGCAGTGGAGGCACTGGAGGGTAAGCGTGTGCTCAAGTTCAACCAAGGTGTGGCTTCTCTACTCAAGATGGGTTCGAGCGCAGGACTGGCCGCTCAGCCTGCTCACAAGAATTCTTCATCAGGCGGCCATACCGAACATGGAGTCATAGTGTCAAACCTCTATCCCTCTGCAGCTCTGCAGCTGTACCATCTTTCAGCTACATTGCTCTACGATACTTTCGAATTTGACGGAGTTCGCATCCAAGAGTTGGGCTCCTCAAGCAACAAAAACCCCGTCTGGAACGGCTCAAACATGCTAGCCGAGCATCTCGGACCAAAAGCGCACAGGCCCCGAGACCTGAGCCACAGCTTAATGAGCAGATTACTTGAGTTATTTCCACATGGGGCTGTGTTCCAATTACTCAATGACACGAGCGACATCGTTGTTGCTACGAGCGCAGACGATGTCGCTTTAGTTGAAGATGCCCTTATACTCACGGAGCTTTCGAAAACCTTCTTGCAGGCACAGCAGATCGTCTTGATGCCGCTGTGGGATGCGTTCCACGAACGTAATATTGGTGCGGTCCTCGGGTTCGCCGAGAATCAGACAAGAGTCTATCTCGGCTCGACGGATCTTGCTTCCATTTCAGCATTCTGCACTACGATAATGACGCAAGTGCGGCGTCTCGAAGCTCAGGTTATAGACAAGATTAAATCAGACTTTCTTGGATCGATCTCCCACGAAATGCGGACACCTCTCCATGGCATACTATCAAGCCTTGAGCTTTTAGCGGACACACCGCACAGCGCACACCAACGCGACCTGCTAGAGACGGCAAGATACAGCGGCTTGTCCTTGCTCGATACCATTGAGCGTGTTCTATATTTCAGCAACATCAGTTCCGGGTCGCGAAGTGCACATCTACCAAGATCAGACTCATCGAACGATGGGCTTCTCCATTCGTCAAGTCTTGCAGCTTATCACTCGGCAGCTTCCTCACAAGACAAGGATACCGTACAGCTGATGGATACTTGCGAGGACATCATCCACAGTGAGGTACACAGATATCGTGCCAAAAAGGCTGTCCAGCCTGATTCTTCGATGCATGGTAAGCATCCTGGTGGAGGGTGGTCCAAGTCCAGCTGGAGCTCATGGAAAACAGGTCTTGTCTATCATCCCATCATAACTTTTGACACGAATGCCACTCGGTCGTGCCGTCTGGTAGCCGTCGCTAGCTTTCGGGCGATATTGACCAATCTTATAGTGAGTTGTACAAAAACAAGAAACGGATGCATGAGCCGTACTGACGTAAGAGAGAATAATGCTTTGAAGTTTGGGGAACCATCAAACTGCATTCGAGTTTCACTGGATCTCACGGACGGTACTACCAAGGTTTCTTGTTCAGACGGCGGTAAAGGCATCTCTTCCGGCTTTATTCGCCATTCAATCTTTGACCCATTTTCTCAGGAGGATCCCGTTGCAGAAGGTACTGGCCTTGGACTTTCCATTGTCAAGCAAACAGTCACTATGCTTAGTGGTGATATGCAGATTGAGTCAAACAGGAAAGAAGGCTCTACCTTCACTGTCACACTCCCATCCAGTCAGGCACTTTATGAGGCACCAGAACAGGCATCAGAGAGCTCAAATTCGCAGGCTGGCACTGCTGGGCTACACCAGCTTGACATGAGTCTCTTCACACCGACGCGCTGGAGATCAGGAGACTCCTTACGGAACCAGCGCTGTATTTGTTTACTGTTGGGCTCACTTGCGAAGAGTGTAAGCAGGTGGTTCAATATCCGGCTCATTCCTTGGGAAAGTGCAAGCAGAGCCTCGCAATGGCGCTTGCTTGTCGTTTTGGAGGAGGACGAAGACAGTGCGCTGCGAGCTTGCGGTGGCGCATCTGACAACTGCGAGCGTATTCGTCTCTGCCCTGATGTACAACCCGCTCCCAGTCTGTACTCAACGCCTTCGAAGGGTGTCGCAACAATTGCCGGTGCGGTGACTAGTTCAAAACTCCAGGATGCGCTGGCGCACTTGTATCCTAGCCAAGTCCCTCCCTCTGAGCTTCGCCACAACTCCGACCAGGAATTAGCCACAACAATAGATGATCAGCAACAGTCAGTAGAAGGGAGCTATAGCCAAGTAAGCGGAGACGCAACCGACGAATGCCGTGCTGCGCCAACAGCATTGCTATCCCGGTTACAACTCGAGAGGAGCCCCCAATTAGACGGCGAGGAAAGCGGCGTGCAGTCACTGGCAATGCCAGCAGCCAGCCCAGTGGTCACTTCAGAGATGAACATGGCAGAAAAGTCTAATGGAGCCCAACCCGAGCACCGAGACACACAATCGCATACGGAGCAAGCAAAAGATCCGGCAGTCTGTACGTCACCAGAGGCAGTTGTAGCAGAGCCTAGGCTGCTGCTGGTAGACGACAACGCTGTGAATCTCAAGGTACTTGCCATGTATGCAAAAAAGTGTAGCAAGACAGCTGCAACACCTGTCGGAGGTGGTCAAGAGGCCATCGATGCCTTCAGGAACGCCATTAAGTCCGGCGATGACACGGCTCCGCAACCTTTCGATCTCATTTTCCTCGACCTCTCTATGCCCGAGGTTTCGGGCTTCGACGTTGCGAGAGAGATACGGAAGACGGAAGCGCGGTCGGGGTGTAAGAGGACGTACATGTGTGCACTCACCGGGCTTGTGAGCGAGAAAGACCGCAATGCTGCGTATGCTTCGGGTGTAGATAATTACCTTGTTCGACCGACGAGGCTGAAGGATTTGCAGGGCATCATTGAGATTTGGCGGGATAAATCAAGCGAGAAATGAGAAGTGCACAAGGCCATGTTGTCCCGCTGCCGTGCTGCACAGATGATGCAAGATGCAACAAGTCTTCTGCCTTTGACCAAGGGAAGGGCGTCATGTCTTGGTCCATGGCGTTGACGGCACGGCGCTAGCTGCGGCGGAGGCCCAATGCGACCGAGAGGCCGATGGCGTGGGATGTGATAATTCATTATCGCAACGTCATGACGCGAGCCCTCTTTTGTTGGTAAGCTGCCGTCCGCCCTTGCACCCGACGCCGAAGATGATTACAGTCGCTCTCGTTAGCCTCGGAGTAGCGCATCCCCCTACTTGATCGCACAACGGCCAGACTGACTGGACAGCACTCGAGGTCGTCGACTTGTAGCAATGCACGCGCCACCCTAGTCCAAACACGACGCCACGCAACCACGGATCCCCACGCTCACGACGACGATAGCTCAACCACAGACAGCCCTCGCCATGGCTTCCAACACTGACGCCGCCTTCGTCGAGGACACCGAAATCGAGCAGCAGCTGAGGGTGCGCGCCAATGGCTCCGAGACGCTGAAGACACCGCGGGCGACCTCGCCGGGCCCCGACAGCGACGATGAGGACGCGCCACTCCTGGGTGCCTCGCCGGGTGCCAACGGACACGAGCAATGGGCAGGAGATGCCGACTTTCGCGGTCTTCCCTGGTGGAAGCGCCCTTCGGTACGCCCATGGAGCCCCTCGCGTCGAGTGCGCATCGACTGACCGCAGCAGATATTCTGGCTCCTTCCTCCCTTTCTGCTCTTCACCATAGCGTTTGGCGGCATCATCGTACCCAAGATCAACCTGATCATGGACCTCGTCTGCGAGGAGTACTACGCGACCCTAGAAACCGACCCCATATCCTCTCCCATGGACCCGGGCCAAGACCGATGCCAGAACGACGCCGTGTCCTCCCGCTCGTCCCTCTTCCTCCTGTACGCTAGCTTGTGCTCCGGCATACTCTCCGCCATCATCAGCCCGAAGATTGGCGCCCTCTCGGATCGGTACGGGCGGAAGAAGTTCATGATAGCCAATACCTGCGGCGCCCTCTTTGGCGAGGTCCTTACAATCCTCGCTGCCAAATTTCCCGAGACGGTGCACGTCAACTGGATACTCGTTGGCTACTGCTTGGAGGGCGTATCTGGATCCTTCATCGTCGGCATGGCATGTGCCCACTCGTACGCTTCCGACTGCGTTGCACCACAGAAGCGGAACGTCGCCTTTTCATACTTCCACGCTTGCTTGTTCGGTGGCATCGCTATCGGACCCGCGCTGGCAGGCTACATCATCAATGCGCGCCAGAAGTACGTTGGCAAGACGGAAGCCGTCTTGCTCATCTTCTACATGGCCCTTGGTGCCCACTTGATCTTCATTGCATTCCTTGCCTTCCTTGTCCCCGAATCCCTTAGCAAAGCACGCCAGGAAGCTGCACGTGAGAAGCGCAGAGAGGAATTGGAACGACAGGGTCCCGCTGGCGACTTCATCAACCAACTACGCTCTATCAACCTTTTTGGCCCTCTGAAGATTCTCTGGCCGACTGGACCTGGCACCTCGTCGGCTTTGCGTTGGAACCTTCTTCTGTTGGCCGCTACCGATACCATCATGTTTGGTGTCGCAATGGGTGCCATGAGCGTTGTACTCGTCTACACTCGCCGCCAATTTGATTGGCATGAGCTAGAAAGCGGCCGCTTCACCACCATCGTGAACAGCTCACGCGTTTTTGCTCTTCTAGTCATTCTGCCAATTCTGACCCGCATCTTTCGCGGAAAGAATGGGGCTGCCCGCATGCGCAGTTCAGGGTCCGACCTATTCGACCTTTCCATTATCCGTGCAGCCATCTTCTTCGACATGGCTGGCTTCCTCGGATATGCTCTTGTCCGCAAAGGCGAGCTCTTCGCACTCTCTGGCGCTATTGCTGCCATTGGCGGTATCGGTTCGCCCACCCTTGGCGCTGCATTGACCAAACATGTGCCGCAAGATCAGGTCGGTCAACTGCTAGGTGCCACGGGCTTACTTCATGCTGTTGCACGTGTGATGGGGCCCACCATCTTCAACGGTATCTACAGTGCTACTGTCGGCGCATACAGACAGACCGTTTTCGTATGTCTCGCAGCGACTTTCGGGACTGCGTTCCTGTGCAGTTGGTTCATTCGTCCACATGGTGAGTGCTCAACCACACCTGCATACCGGATTGAGTCTAACACTTCACAGTATATACAGACGGAGATGACAAACGCGCTGCGCGATCAGATGAACAAGAAGCATAGCTTGCTTCTCTTCATGCTGGCACTTCAGTCGCACTTTTTTCGGATCCCTAGATTTTCTGGACGGCAATGTCCTTTTTTTCTCGCACGCATATGTACAGACAGCGAAGGTGTTTGGGTTGGCATTGTGAAACAGCCCGGTTGTTGTTAGGCTTCATATCTGTATATTATATGTTGACGTAATGTTCAATACTTGTTCTTACGCATATTGCATCACGCGTTGTGAGACCTTCGCCGACAATTCGCTATAGACGAAGATGTGTGTTGCTGGTGCCGCAGTACGAATGGGTACGCCGAGACTTCTAGTGTGTGCCACCATGCCAAACTCTGCGTTGGATGGGGCCGCCTTCTGAGCTCATCGGTCGAGGAAACAGCCAACTCGACTTTGTGAGTCGTAGCGGCAACGGATCGGAATATCTCTTCAGGACATGAACTCGTCCACGAGGCCGAGACGTGTCTTTGCCTTGGGTTAGGCATGCCGACATGAGCTTGTCTGGTATTCTATAGGCCAACGACACGTTTCGAAAAGGACAGATGATGGACTGCACAATTTCCGAGGTGCAACACCTTCAACCCCACCAGCAGAACTAGGAGAATGCACACGAATGTTTGCTGGTGGTCAAGGTCGACGTCTACAACCCACCGCTCTTTGCTTGTCACTTCAATTGAAGTCTGCTCCACAAGCTGCGTACACCGTTCGTCGAAGTCTGTGTTATCATTTGAAGCAAATCTCGGCACAAAACGTCGATTTAGAAACCTTGGCATGTTTTTGGTATCGAGGTCACCTCGTGCACCTGACACGATCTCAACAGTCGTGGACCTTTCCGCTAGAAGAGGATGATGGCTGTTTGTACGATGGTAAAGAGGGGTTTTGAGAGCGAGGGCAAGACTGCCGTAGAGGTTGATGAAGAGGCAGGACACGAACATGCGGACCTGTAATTGTATTAACAATGATCTGTATCAATATATCTTGTCCAAAGTTGTTTTGTTTGCTATATATAGCTCTGGCAAGTAGTGAGACTCGTCTCATACATTGTGGGTGCGCGATGAAATAAGAGCAAGGAGAAGTGACTGATCGGATGGATCTAGAATGGCAATCATTCCTGGCCTCACTTCCCGCTGGGTTATTCTCGGCCATCACCGACGACCATAGTACTGCGGTGATTCAGTATGCAGCTCTTGTCTTGAGCATTGCTCACCATGCTGCTTGTAGAAGGCCAGGTTTCGTCTTTGGAAGTCACACCAGATCCATTCCGATACATTCTGATCAAGACACCTTATTTGGCGTTACCAAGTTCAGTGCATCACGGGAGGCGCATAGTACTTATTTGTTGTTTGCGTGAAGGGTTTACAGTAGCTACCTAGGTAGTGCAAGACAACACAGAGAAGCTGTGGTGGTCGGCGCTGCTGCAGAACCGGGCTGACTAACGAACCTCGGGCCGTCAGGTACGTCAGCTTCCACGTTGCATCTTCCCGTGCCAATTGGCTGTCGCGCAACCACTACAACGTCTGCCTTTTTGTATTCCACACCTTTCCATCCGCCGCAAGTTCCGGTCTCAGCGGTCGCGATCCCAACTCAATGTCAACAGCATTCCGGTAGCATCATCACTGGACAAGCCCTCGTCAGGGCCCCGCAACCGCCATGTCAAAAGAGAACCGCGCTTTCGATACCCAGAGATTGGGCGCAGGCTATGGCTTCGAGTCGCATCCAAAGCATGCTATTGAAATGCCGCCAACATGGGTGCTTCTCGTAGGCTTGGGCTTTCTGCTATGCGCAATGGGCTTTTGGGTACGGACACATGCGCCTACATGACATCGTATACGCGACTAATGACTATGAGTGACAGCTTTATATAGCATTGAACCTCCTGGCGCCCACTCCGCGACTGCCACGCCGTTCCGAGAAACAATACACGACGATACTCCCCGACGGTGCAAGAAGCCACCCAAAGGAACTCCCGTGCTGGCTGGATAAATGGGCAGCAGAGAAGGAAGCCGCCAAGAAACAAGCAGCGAAGGAGCCGGGAACTAAAGTCGTCATACCACCACAGATGCCCATCGAAGAACCGGAGCTCTTCATGAGCGTCGTGGTCCCCGCATACAACGAGGAGGACCGGCTGGAAGGTATGTTGGAGGAGGCTGTTGACTACCTGGAGAGCCAATATGGTGATGCGCATGCTGGCGGCAAGGGGGAAAAGAGCCAGAAAGGATGGGAGATAATCGTTGTTAGTGATGGAAGCACAGACGGCACCGTCGACAAAGCGCTGGAGTTTGCAAAGGAGCGCCAACTCAGCCAACACCCCAAGTCAAAGCCAGGACCGTGGTCGAAGAACGGCGACGCCAAGGCCGCGCACTCAACACACATCCCACACGGCAGTATCCGCGTGGTCACACTTGAAGAAAACAGAGGCAAAGGCGGAGCAGTCACACACGGCATGCGACATGTTCGAGGCCAGTATATTGTCTTCGCCGACGCGGATGGCGCGAGTCGGTTCTCTGATCTAGGGGCCCTCGTTGAAGGCTGCCAGAGCATCGAGGACAAGCATGGGCGCGGTGTTGCCATCGGCTCCCGAGCTCATCTCGTCGGCAGCGAAGCCGTTGTTCAGCGCTCCAAACTCCGCAACTTCTTGATGCACTCGTTCCACATCCTCCTCCGCATCATGACGCCTCCGGCAACCGCACGCATCAAGGATACGCAGTGCGGCTTCAAGTTATTTTCACGACCAGCACTTCCCTATATCGTCCCCTACATGCACTCGGAAGGCTGGATCTTCGACGTCGAGATGCTGATGCTGGCCGAGAGCGCTGACATTGCCATGATTGAAGTGGCCATCGGGTGGAAGGAGGTTATGGGTAGTAAGCTAAATGTTGTATGGGATAGTATTGGCATGGCATGGGGTCTCGCGCTGTTGAGAGCTTGTTGGATAGCAGGCATTTATCAGAGGGACTAGGGTTCGTGCATATAAAATAGAGCCGCGTTACCCGCCTGTGACTGCCCCCGCATTCAATATGCTTTGATGTAGTAAACTGAATGCATTTTTGTTGAAACTCACACGCTGCATACCATGTTCCCATGATATATGTTGTGAGATGCAGCTTCCATGGAACCGAACTCCTGTCCGCCGTCCAGGCATTCCAAGACTGTAATTTCCTCACGTGCCCCATTACTCGCGTACTGGGCTAGGGGATCTTGACACGGCGACAATCTCGAGAGCCTATCGGAAGACCTAGAGTGCTAGCTCATTCGCAGAAAGCGCTAGGCATCGTTGCTCGATTGAGTATATGATGCTATTCTCATCACTGCTCTTATCACTGTGTGATATTAGTCGCCAAATTGATCTCTAAACTATAGAAGTGTATAGGGCAACCTCATAGTGCCAGCACAATCTGCATGCATCGACATCATAGATGTCGTGACGCATCCCTCGCTTATTCGAAACTGGCGACCCAACCATCACCGACTCTCTCACCTTTCGCATCTACACCACCCCAGAAGACTACGCTGCTGCCCTTCTCCATGACGTCCGATCCAAACAGAGCCCTTGGGCCGGGATGGAGTTTGCCATCTTCCTCTTCCAGTTGTTTGTCCGAAGGGGTCTGCACTACCGCCTCCGCCCACGACAAGTGACCAGTATCAGCCCCCAGCGCAGATCTGATAGCATCTTTGATCTTTGCAGGGTTAATGGTGTTCTTGAGCGTCATCGATGGCTTCGCCTCCAAATCGCTTGCAGGGATCTGCAGAACCCAGGTGTCGCTGAATTGGGTGACTTCGCCTGCGTACTTTGGATCTTCTGGCTTGGTGTTGGATACATCAGCAGAAGAGTCGCTCCGTGCGCCTAGGAGATAGACGAGGTAGTTACGGCCCCACCCAGTAGTCACCGGTATCAAGGCGCCGTCATGTCGCGCACGGGGGCCAGGCGCTAGTGGATTGGTAGGAAACGTGAAAGACTCCCATTTCCTCTCCTCACTGGAAGACGAGACGCTAATATGATGGAGCTGGCTGCTCATTGGGTCAGATCCAGATATCAGCCATAATTGACCATTCGCCAACGCGGCGTTGGATGTCGCGACTGGCGCTGTTGGAAGTTGCGTCCAGTAGCGTGCAGCGATGTCGAATTGCCACAAATCTGATGCATTGTCCCCAGAGCCATCGACCCCACCGAACAAAACTACGTGTTGATCATGCGCGAACAGCTTCGCATTGCGCCGCGGGCCCGGGCCAATGTTTCCAGTGTCGACATCTCCCTTGGAGGGTTGTAAAACATCCCAGCTCTTTCTGTCAGGACTAAACAGCCATACAGACGATTGCTCGTCAATGAGATCGCCAGCTTTATCGCTGCCACCGTATATAGCGACATTGCCGTGGAAAGCACAAGCTGCGTGATTCGATCTCTCCGCTGGCGTGCGACCACCTTCGCATGTTGAGAGAGCAGGAATGATGCTGTAGTCCATCTCTGGTTTACCGGAATGCTCAAGAGTAACCGCATGCACATGGTTGCTGGCAAGAACGTTGTTCGCAGTATCGCCGCCGAAAATATAGGCTTTGTTGCCGAGCACTGTGACTGTATGATTGGAACGCGCCAAAGAGCGTCTGGAGGTCAGTTTGACCCTACGTAGTAACAGTGGAGTACATACGCCGAAGAGTCACCGGTTGCTGTGGCTATGCGTTTGAAAGTGACTTTGAGGGGGAGCGTGGGCTTCGAGACGATGTACGCGGCGTAACCTGCTTCTGCCGTGTGTTCTACCACTTCGGCCGCAACGTACGCGCCTGCTGCAACTTCAGCCATGGCTCTGGTGCTAGTATGGTCTCGTAATATCTGACAGTGTCCGGCAATCGGGCAATGGACTGAGAAGGCGTCGAGTATGAGAACTAGTGGCAGACGAGAAGGGGGAGGCAGAGAGGGGCGAAGGCTAATGCAGGTACGCGGGTGATGACGTCAGTGGACTCCACAACAACTGCAAGTACGCAGTTGGGACATCTGCTTCATGTATTGAGATTGGTCGTGTGATATCTAACGCGGCTTTCATTGCCGATTGTAAGAGTTGCAGATGATCAGAATGTGGTCTCATAGTCACAGCGTTGGAAGCGATGAGGTCTTCATCAGGCGCTCCTCCGATGCTGACACGATCTTCTTGCGCATGTACGCCCCAGCTTGCGTGAGGGATAGTGGGAGCCCATGAAGAGATCGGAGCACTAGATTCACGTCCCTTTCGCTTATTTAACCGTCGATTTCTCGATTCTATAGATGTAGGTTTTGTAATCTGCGCCGTAACTCCACCATTCATTACTCTTCCTCCTTTCTGTGCCCACGTGCAACATTGGGACCTGCGCTATGCCTTCGCAAATTCTTCGTCAAGGCATAATTTTTTATGTCCACACAAGCACCGCCAGTTCGCTACAATACTTCCAGACACCCTGTGCCGCTCGGCGAAGCTAAAGGTACCGTCCCGCATGTTTCAACAAGCTCAAGTGCTATCTCGGCCGGGGATCCATGGATGGTAGCCCCTCCCGTCTTCAAGCACCGCTGCTCAGCCATTTCATTCGCGTTCGAATCATTAGCCACCCCAGCTCTGCCCCTTACGTGTTCGTTATTGAGGTGGTGGAGATCGCACGATGCGTGATCCCCGGTATCCTGTGCCGACGCCCTAGTATCGATAACTGGTTTACAACGTGTCACATAAAGGGTAAGTCTTATGCAAAACAGTCTTAACCCACACCTGCATTCTACTCAGTCGCGTGGCCGTGCGGTGGAGGATATCCTCAGAAAGGATGCATCCTAATCACACAACCATCCACCAAGGACCGACAAGTGAGCCAAATACTACGACAACAGTCAGGATAGAAACACCAGCCTGGTTTCTGTTGATAATAAAGTTGAGAGTAGTGGAACCATCATCATTGGGCGACTCGATTCCAGTGTCGGGTCACTCTTCGAAATACCGCCTATTCCAGCAGTAGCCGGACCATCTACGGTGGGATAGAGCAATACCTAAAAAGATCAACATACGAAGTCAATCTATGTCCCACACATACTTCATACAGCTGCAACTAGTCTACCCTATCTCCAATGCAGCCATTTGTTCGCCGACACCAGAGCTGCCGTCGTGTGTGCCACGGTCAATCCATCAAAGACCACAGGATACCTGATCTGCGCCAGCATTGCACTGGGCTACAGCAGCCTTTGCTGACGCTTTCAGCAAGGGGTCAATCTGGTCGCGCGTCCATGGAGCGATAATAGCAGTGTACCCAAGCCAGCGGGCAAGGTATGCTTTGAAAGAGTACTGGTCGTTATCGCACTTGCTATTGTTCTCACAAGCGACCTCGCTAATAACGCCGTCCTTGAAGAAGATATTGATTCGACTAATGATACCTTGAAGTCTATCTGTTCACCGCTAGATCTGAGTCTGAATCACGTTAGCACAGATGCGTTCATGCAGTGAGCCAAGAGTGTCTTATACGTACAACCTTTTACATGGCAGCAGCACCAGACATGTGCACACCAGCATTGTAAGTCCATTGAATGCAGTTGATGATTGTGAAGTTCTCAGAGTCGCCGTTGCCATCAAAGAAATTGAACTCTCGGCTTATAAGGTGAAGATACAGAGTCAGTGTATGTCTTGCATGCATTTTGTACAGCCGCATCTTACCGTATAAGTCCTATAGACTGTTCCCACTTCCACGTCTTTTTTGCCCATACAGAGTAAGTACTGTTTCCAAGAGATTTGTATAAACGTGCGGCGATATTAAAGAAGCATCCATTGGAAATCCTGTTCTTGTAAATATATCCTGGATTCGTAAAGAAGATCTGCCACTTGAAGCCGCCACCACATCTCTTTGCATCCCGTCCTTTGTGCTGGATCTGGAATACAGACTGGGCGAAAGAGAGCTATGGGGGACCATCTTTGAGGTCGGGTAGTTTGTTCTCAGCCGTCGACATGGCAGCCATGCCACAGAAACCTTGGTTGTCATCTCCAAGGGTTCTGGATTGATTCGGTGGCATGCAGGCATCGTAGTCCCCAGTTTGATGTAGCAGAGCCTGCATCGTAATAGCATTGTACTGGTCGTCTCTGGTATAATACCAGTAATCGATGAATGCGTTGAACATGGTACCGTATTCCCACCAATAATAGGGATCTGGAAGATTGTCAGGGACGTCGCCTAGCCGGTCACTAGTATATTGCTTCCGCAGGTTCGAGAAAAGTGCCTTTGCGATGTTCTTAATTGAGTCTATGTATATTACCAATATCCCGAGGCACATTCGAGAGCGAGGATACCGGGTGAAGTAACGTCCAGATCAATAAGGCATACACTGGATAAGAATTGAATTGAGGCACAAATGCCCAAAAAGGTATATCCAATCTTCATGTCGTCGGCCGAGAAATCAGAGTGACGTCCTTCGCAGCCGTTTCCAGGATGAAGCTTGATTCAAGCGGCAGGCTGGGGCCAATGAATCGACACAGGATCATTAGCAAGGTTCGCTTTGGGAGACTGGTTGCGTGTTTGAGACGTCGCCTCTGGTCTGGTCGGATGTTTCACTTTCTAAAGTTGCCGTCGGGAAGGGAAAATAGGGGGCAGGAGACGGCACGACACAAAAGACAACAATACGAACAGCCCATGTTACGTTATCTTCGAACCGAGTAAGGCATCTCAATATGCGGCGCAGCCTGTCCGGAGAGTGCAGCTAATCGAGTAATGCAGGCTACCGAGCGGTGCAGGGTCCCCATTCTCTTCAAAACTTCCGGTCTCTCCTTCAGCGGCTGGCCCTAGTATTGCGAAAGTTTTGAATCTCCTCCGTGCTCGTGCATAGCGCGTTCGTGGGTTTCCCGCCCTATCTCTGGCTGGGTGCGCGCCCCACGATCTTCTAGTTAGCTACCTGCTGCGCCTCTTATGTGAGATTTCACATTCGTTAATCACGCGAAATTGCTAAACCCTTCGTTTCTTTCCATTCTGCCCCATCTTTGGGCTGGTCGCGCCGTCATTTTTTCTCATCGTGGCTCGGGTGTTTTGGCTTCCGAGCGATGTCGTCTTACTGCTAGTAGTTTAACCCACTAGCATGGCTAGATATAACCTTCCTCTTTGCAAATGTGAGTTGTACGAGCGCCTACGTCCTATTTCGTACCCAAGTATATTGAGATTAGCTATAAGTTCGAGGTCCTGTAGAACGCATGGAACCACATCGAGTCAACACGATTGCCATAATGAGTCTGGACATATATACGTCCAAATATGGCCTCGTCATGAACCACAGCGTCGGAGTTAAGGAACAGTGAGTCGCGTGTTATGTTTGGGCAATAAGCTTCCTCAAAGTGTAGCCATCGCTGGATACGAGGAGAGAATTATCAGAGCAACTATAGGATCAACTATAGGATAGTGGAGTCATTAGAGCCAATGTGCTGTGTCACTTCCCAAAGGCTTCGGCATGACATCCCACCCCACTGACAGACCCTTGATGCGAGCCGAGTGCGTTACCGCTTTTAGCTCCCCGAAATGCGTTTGCCGCAGTTCTAGGTACCTCTTTACATCCTCTGGACTTTTGAAATCCTTGCGGTCGAACCCACTTTTGCCATCGTAGCGCCCTAAAGACCGCATGAATTTCATAACACCAGCCAACGATACAATGACCTCGTAGGCGCCTCCAGCAGTAGCGCGCTTGTATAACGCGGCCATGATACCAGTTGCCAGAAGATAGCCGGCTCCGTGGTCGAATGCTTGGCAAGGTAGAATGCGTATCGGTTCGCCGGCTCCATAGCGCTCAGCCTCCGCTACATTGATACCGCAACAGGTTTGGACAAGCGAGTCGAATCCGCGATTTAGAGACCAGGAATTCCCAGGACCATATGCACTAAGGCTTGCAACGATCAGGCTTGGATTCGCCTTGGTCAATTCTTCCGCAGAGAGACCCTTTGCTGCTAGGCTTCCGGGGCGATAGCTCTGGAGAAAGACGTCAGCTGTGGAGAGCAGATCTAGTAGCTTAGCTCTTCCTTCGGCCTTCGATATATCTAACTGCACCGTGCGCTTGCCTCGCGATAGATCTATATCGAGATCGGGAAGATCAGGTCTAGATGTATGTATGAATGGTTAGTACACCTTCCTTCCAGTTTTAACTCGTACATGGACACTACTGACAGATGCGGCGATGTGATCCAAATGACGTCGGCTCCGTGTGCTGCTAACGTCTTCCCAGCGACTGGCGCAGCTATAACTATAGATCCGGGGTAGGAGGTCAGTGTATGCCTTGCGCGCTTTCGGTACAGCCACGTACCTCGGCTCATCTCGACAACGCGAATGCCTTCCAGGCATTTGCCCATTACTTTGGGGGTTCGTGCCAATGGCATACGCAGCTCGGAAGTTGCAAGTCTCGTTAGCAGAACTGGGTGGTCTGCAATAGCCTTGCCTTGAGGTAAAGCGTCCCATTGATCAAGAGAGCGCAGCGCAGCAATCACAGCTCCGGAGCGAAAACCCTTAGCTTCTAGCTCTACAGACTTCCATCTTGACACCTCTTGTGCCACAACTTCCTTGGATGCGTCTTGTGGAAGTCCCAGAATACGAAGCGCGATCTCACGATGATTTGGAAATGAATCGTGTATCCTTACGTATCCATCGGCTGCTTGATAAAACCCACCAATAGCTCCCCATGGAGGCGATGCGGCTTTTCCATTGAGAGTATACAGTCGCTCGGATTTGAATTCGACGCATGCATGCTCTGCCGGAACTGTGACGCGGGGCATTGAACATCCATTTCGATGAGACCAAAAGAGAGCTGCGACAAGCGCGGACGCTGCAACAGTTGACTGTGCGAGAACATCAACTCTGAATGAAGATGGTAGGCACTCTCCATCGGAGGGCAGATCTAGTGAGTCGAGGGCTTCCTGTGGCAAGTCTAGCATCCTCCATAGGAATGCGACAGAGCTGAACGCGTCGAAAGTAGTGCGCTCCATGTAGAACAATGACTGAAGATGTCTGAAAGGGACTTGAAGCATCCAGGATCTAGAGGGGAACAAAGTGTGCTGGGTAGAGGACACTTGGGCAGGTGGTAGAAGTCCAGGGAGGAGGGAGTCAGCGCACCGAACTGCCAGGATGACTGGGAATACATTGAGCTAGATAGGACAGATGATCGGAAAAGCAGGACAGAGATGGAGGAGACGAGAGAACCATAGCTGCATGCATAGCCGACAATTGCCGGGCCCCATTATGTAAGCGACCGGCGAATTGCGAACCTTGACAGACAGCGGTGTTTGTCCAAGAGCCTCTGCCATGCAGACGTACAACATCGTTACATCGTAGTCTTCGTCGCCAGCATGTTGCCATTCACGCTCACTTCCTGATGAATGCCGCTTCACGCGTCGCGCCCATGTGTACGTAGTGAACGTCAGGGCATGTGACTACCTAGGTAATTGGAATTCAAATTCAAGATAGTCACATATAATGAAGATGACAATATTCACGCTCGCAGATAAGTGCGCCCTAATTTACTCAGTCTAAAGCATCTTTACCCGTAGCCAGTACCCAAGCACCACCGCAACATGGCCGATCTCTCAGAAAGGTCCAGACCGCGTACAACGGGTGAACCCAATCGCTTTGAACGCAACGTGACTATGCGCGGTGTGCAGAATTCATGTCAGATTAGTACTCATACAACTACATTGTAAGCACAGTAATTCGGCTTCTGGTGGCTACATCAACATGTTTATCTAGGCTGCATCTACTAATATCCAGACTGGAGCGAAACGCGTTCGCGGGGGTTGCAACGAAGCTAGCAGCATCTCCGGTATTCCACTTCCACAACGTGCTCTGCGAAACTATAACGCCAAGTCTCATGGGCCATTTCAGAAGCAAGCGAGAGTGGAAGTTTGGCTTGACAATGTGATGATGCACGCAAATAAGGAGGAAATGAATGAGTTTAACACGAACGATGAGGTAACAGATGATGTTTGGGCTGGCGAAACGTTAAAGCCAACCAAAGAGGAAGAGAAGCCAGAGAAACGATGGAAGGATGAAGTTAGTCAGCGCTAGATACTCTCGAGCAGACGAGGAGCATGAAGTGCTGCGAAGTGGTAGGAAAGCCAAGTGGTTCGTCATGTGGTGCTCAACATTAATAAAAATTGCATAGACGAAAATAATATACCTTCCGGAAATCACGTGGTTCTTGACCAGTGGGTCTCCTTAAGGTGGGTACTGCACTCTGACGACAAGCGACCTTGACGTGATTTCCAAGTGTTGAAGCAAACATGACTAGGATTGCTTGCCGACACTCAGCTTCGGCATGACTCTTTTCGAGGTTACAAGGCTGTGAGAAGGCGTGAGTACATATTTGCTAATCCTGAAAGCGTCCACTCGGCGGTGAGTAATGCCGATCATTCTACCTTGTTTCGTCCCACTTGAGCAAGACATTGAGCGTGTGACGAAAGAGCTGATGGATCCGTCTCTTACCTATTGCGATCTGGAATTTCTGGGTATTTTTTGAATACGCGCTTTGCAGCTAGTTGTAATAGGTGGCTGTTAGTAGGGTCATCCCAACTTTGCATACAATAAAGCTAATGAGCGAATATGTGAATTCGAACTACCAAGAGATAGACTTGAGGGCACTTCGAACATTGAGTAGACAAAACTTTTGCATTATTAACTACCGTTTCCTAATTAAAACGCCATTTCCTTGACTGCAAACGCAGCCAGATAAAACCGACTCCCCATAAATGCAGATACACATACTCACAGTGTAGGTACCTATTCAAGCACTCCCCGCAACTTCACCGAACCACTGCCTCAGTGCCCCGGCCAATACGCCCGGTAACTCCCGAACATCCCTCACAACGAGATAGTACCTGAACGGGAACTGCTCCATGTACTTGTATCTCACGATCTTGCCCTCAGGCGTGAACACCGCAGACTGTAAATCCAGGATAGAAGTCTTGGCTTGATCCTTCACTGGCACTGGTGGCTGAGCACCAGGGTTGTCAGATGGCACAGATGTTGATACCGACGGAGCGGCAGCAGAGCTATCAATGATGATGAAAACGATCATCACGCGCTCTTCTTGCGCTTTGCGAACGAGACGTTGTATTTCCGCGTGATCGTCGCAGAGACCATCACTGACAATGAGCATCAATTGCCAGAGATCTTCACCCGCTGAACTCGATCCGTTCTGTCGCGCATCCTTGAATAGCTCCAAACTCTTGTCGACCAAACCACGAACGTTGGTCTTTTTGGCGTCAAAGCCAAACTGCTCAAAGACACGTACACCGGCTTCGGAAGTGAAGGGCTTGTCAAAGTCATGCGCAACATTGACTTCGTCGCCGAAGCCTACGACACTGACCTCGCCAACTTCTAGCATGGAAAGCGAGCGAGTAACGAGCGTAAGGGTCTTGAGTGCGAGTCCGCTGGCTCCGCTATCGGCCATACTGCCACTGTTGTCCAATGCGATCATGACCTGGTAGCTTCTTTTGCTTGGCATACTACGTCGCAGCCAAATCTTGTCGCGCTTATAGCCTGATGCGATGTAGGGAATAATGCGCTTGAGGTTAAGTCGCTTTCCTGTGCGGAAGTCTCCACGAAGCTTTGTAGCGAGGGTGGGTGCAAGGATAAGGCGAAGATGCTCGGTCAGCTGTTGGGAGAGCGAATGTGTCGAAGCTTCGTGCGCAAGCCAGAGGGCGCGTGCAGAAGTGGGGTCTATGGTATATGGATCGAGGTGCGTAAGCGAGAGCTGAGCTTCGATGTTATCGGCAGACGACGTCGTAGACGAGACATCATCTTTGAGTGATATAGCATCGGCCATGTCTTCGTCTTCTTGATCGGAAAAGGGTCGTTGTTCGCCGACGAAAGCCTGGGGCTGGCCTTCCAATGCATTCGACTGCGGCTGCTGAGCTTCTTGGTCTTGATCTTGTTGCTGCTCAGGCTCCTCCATATCAACATCTTCATCAGCACCAATCCTCTCTTCATCTTTGTCGTCGGGGCGAGATGGCATCTTGTCCTCCTCTTCATTCATTGGCAAAGCCATATCGTGATCCAATGTCTTTGCTTGATCCTCAGTTGCAGTGCCCAATGCTTGCGTATCAGCCTGCTGTTCTTCATCACCAACGTGCTCAAAGTCCGCATCAGCCATCTCGATCTCTTTATCGATTTGCTGAGCTTGAGTCTCATCCGTTTCTTTGGCGTCTTGAATCTGCTTCTGCTGGTTGTACCACTTCTCGAGTACATCGCCCAATTTCTTGAAAGACTGCGCTTCACGAGACTCCTCAGGCTGCTCCCCCTGCCCTCCAGCGTCTGGCGCCGCAGTTTGTCCAAGCTGGCCGTCCTCAGTTGTTGGTGCTTGTTGCTGTTCAGCTGATTCGCCCTCCTGGCCTTCGTCTTGGTTCGCAGCACTGGCAGATGTTTGATCATTCTTGTTCGTGTGAGCTTCTTCATTGGCTTCTGTACCCGCGCCGGCTTCGACACTGGGATCAGCATGATCTGCGTCTTTCTGCTCACGAGCTTCATCGTCCGGTATGTTGTCATCTGGAAGAGGAACAGCGTTGTCATCGTCGATCGGCTCGTCACTCTCGTCTTCTTGTCCTTCTTCTGGTTGTTCCTCATTTCCAACATGACCGGCTGTTTCTTTTTCCTCTTCGTCTTCCTGCTCTGGGCCGACATCTTCGTCCATGGTTTCTGGCAGTGCTGGATCGACTTCCGGCTGCATGTCTTCTTCTGGCAGGTCATCTCCCATGTCCATGTCACCAGGATCATCATCTTCCTTGCCTTCGTCATCTTGACCGTCCATGTTCAAGTCTTCTGGCAGTTCCAGTGTCTCTTCTTCTTTTGCATGCGGATCCATCTGCTCTTTCTCGCCAACACCAACGTTCTCATCCTGCTCCTCGCCTTCCGTCTCCATTTCCTCGTCTTCCTCGCCCTCCTGCTTTTCGTCTTTCTCGTCATTCTCTCTATCCTCACCACTCTTTTCCTTTTCCTTTTGCTCGGAAGCAACTTGCTCGTCTTGGTCTTCAGTACCCACATCTTCTTTGCCTTCTTTGTCCTTCGCGTCGTCTTCCTTGCCACCATCGTCCCACATCTTCTCATCGACAGCACTCGGGCCGAGGTCATCGACACTGCCAACCTCACTTTGTGCATCATCATCTCCTTCCTCGCCAGACTCCTCGCCCTTATCTTCTTTCTCTCCAATCTCTTCCGTCTCACCTTCCATCTCTTGCTCGCCCATATCGACAGCATCTTCTTGTTCTTCAATACTGCCCTCACGTTCACCCTTCTGCTCCTGTGCCAGATCCTCGAGGTCTTCATCGTCTTCAATATCTTTAGAAATGTCTTCGGCACCTTCACCTTCGCCGAGGCCAGTTCCAGATTCAAGCTTATCGTCCTTGCCCTTCTGGGGATCGTTAGATTTCTCGGGGGGTTGACAGAAACCTTGCGTGCCGATTTGGATGAATGATTTCGACAGACGATGCAGTAGATTCGCAGTCGTTGCATGAAGCGCATCAAAACGATTGACAATGTACTTGTGCGTCGCCACATACTGATGTAAGATTGGCTTTACGTATGCGAATAAAGCGACGATGACTTGTAGATCGGCATCTTCGTGTAGGTAGTGCATTCTTTCGAGGAGTGTTTGTAAGGCTTCGCGGATTTGAGGGGAATGTAAAGCAACAAGCGCAGCAGCGAGCGCTTGTTCTTCCTTGAGGAGCCAGGACGTATCATCGGTCGAAGTCGGTATGCCTGCCATGGCGGCCTCCATATCTTGCATTGAACCCAGGACAAGATCCAGAGAAGCAAGTACGTCTTGAGTATAAGACTCAACCGTTATGCAGATATCGGGTAGAGATCTGACAGCATTGGCAGCGGGATACGAGAAGATGAAAGGGCTAACGTGCAGAAGCACTGTCTTTGCCATGTCGTTGTTGTTGACGGACGCGTTGAACGCTTGCTGAAGATCGGACAAGAAGGTTTTAACGGT